GTTTGACATACCAAATAAGTTCGGTACCATGATGCCGTGGATGACCTCAGTTGCAAACAAAGGTGCGCAAACATAGTTGCAATGGAAATGCTTAAAAATTGCAAAGGTGCACAAACAAAGGCTCAGTATTATTGTATCCAAAAAACAACAAGTGAACGCAGTGAATGATTCCACAAAAACAAGTTCGATATCATGATGGCATGGATGACACCTGTTTCACTGCATTTCTCCGATGTCCCTACAGGATTGAACAATCTTTACAGACAAACAACACTTGGCTACTGATTTAGCACGTTCGCCACGAACAGTTTCTCCAGGCGAACAGTGGTGCAAATTAATTTGTGAACGCAGTGAATGATTCCACAAAATTAAACAAGTTCGATATCATGATGGCATGGATGACACCTGTTTCACTGCATTTCTCCGATGTCCCTACAGGATTGAACAATCTTTACAGACAAACAACACTTGGCTACTGATTTAGCACGTTCGCCACGAACAGTTTCTCCAGGCGAACAGTGGTGCAAATTAATTTGTGAACGCAGTGAATGATTCCACAAAATTAAACAAGTTCGATATCATGATGGCATGGATGACACCTGTTTCACTGCATTTCTCCGATGTCTCTACAGGATCGAACAATCTTTACAGACAAACAACACTTGGCTATACTGATTTAGCACGTTCGCCACGAACAGTCTCTCCAGGCGAACAGTGGTGCAAATTAATTTGTGCCCGCCGCACTCAGTTCCATGTGCCACTTGGCCCGCAAGCCTTCCAGCTGCCACAAGGCCTCCAAGACATAGGGGCGATTGTGCCAAGGGCGCAAGGCAGGTCTTTTCTCAAGCAGCAACTGGACGGCATCCTCTGCAGAGTAGTTGTAACCCACGACGAGCCAAGCACATAAAACCCCAGCGCTTCGATTGATGCCTCCAAAGCAATGGAAGAGCACGTGCATGGATTCGCCCCTGGTCACTGCCAGCATGGACTGTTTCCAGAGTTGGCCACAAACAATTTTCCACTGTTCCAAACAAGAAGCTACCAAGTCAGGGATTCGTTCCTGCCAACGGTGCGGCGGCTTCAATGTCGTGTCCTCCAAATGACACTTGACGTGATAGACATTTTCTTGCTGGAAATACTGCGCCCAATCCTTTGGGGCGCCTCGAATCTCCATTTCATTTGCGCACATGGTCACCACCACGGTGACCTTCACCGACAGAGTCTCGAAAATGTCTTTCAAGCTGCAGGCCGCTTTGATGCTTCCAAGCAGCACCGACGCTCGATCCGTAGGTTTGCAGATCACGGCAGCGTCCAATGGCCACTCCTCTATGGACCCGAAACTGTAAGGGTGCCGAGAGGTAATGCGGTCCAAGTCATTCCAGCATTCTTTGTCGGCGTAAGCCTTCCTGATATCTTCTTCTCGCGCCGCTCTCCACTCGCAAGCGCTGGTGGTCATGGCAGCAACTGTGATCGAACAGACGTTCCCTACCTTGAACACGACGCAAGCTATTTAACAGATCCGCAATGCACAACTACAGGTCATTGATCCGCAAGCCACGCGAGCGACGACAATGCAAGCACAATGCAAGAACAAAACTACCTCCCGCGGCAACGAAGTGCAAATGCACAACTACAGGTCATTGTTTCAATCTACAGGTACAGCACGCAACGATGCCTTCAACCACAGGTGCGCTAAGGTCCAGCTGCGTACTTACTTCGAAGTGTGACACTGAGTTGCAAGCCGAAACTCGATGCCATGATGCTGTAGAACCACTGCTGTTTCCAGCCCTCCTCCATGGCATGCGTAGCAAAAACTGCCATACGAGCATATACGAATATCAAGACAGATTACCCAAAAAAACAGCTCCATACCATGATGTCGAGGATCTCACATGTTCACGCGTTTTCATATGGAAAATCTCATAGAATTCACCAAATAAGCTCGGTACCGTGATGCAGTGGATGACCTTAGTTGCACGACTTTCTCTGTACAGTGAAACTGTAAACAAAGGATAACAAAAGCGCGCAAACGAATGCATATCATGATGGCACGGATGACACCCTTTTCATTGCATTTCGCTCGATGCACGGACAGTCCCTGTAGCATCGAGCCCGTCAAAATTCCGTGGCAAAGAACCACTGTCGCAGAGACCTGCAAACTGAAGGCTGAACGCATCAACAAAAAACTAGTTTAACAAAGCTCGGTAACAAAAAACTCAGCAGCTCGGCAACACCATCTTGCATCATCTCGCAATGCCTTGTTTCATCTTGCATCATCCTGGACTTCCAAACTGAGAACACAATTTGTGAGTTTGACACTTGGGATGGGCATCATTGTCGAACACCATGATGCTGTAAATTACATGCATCCCACCGTTCTCGAAGGAAACATCCACAAAGGTACAACGAACCCAACAGCTTGTTAACTTCTGCAACTTCATGCACTAACCTGCTACACACTCGCACAATTCAATGCAAAGAATGTGTTCTTCGAACCCTGAGACCGCGACTCCTGCGTTTGACAAGCAAACATCATTGTCGCATAGACATGCAAACTGAACAGTGAAGCTCACTATGAACATATCAATTCCCACACAGATTACCACACCAAACGAACCAAGCTCCGCACGTCCTAGCACGGATACACTAGCAAGCATTTGCACCCTCAATCTCTGACAGTTCCATGTCGTGCGGTAAAAGTACACACAAAAGCTTTTACACACAAACGCTTTTACACATGGTGCTTTTACACAAACACACTTTGACACACAGACGCTTTGACACACAAAAGCCTTTACACACAAACGCTTTTACACACAGACGCTTTTACACACAGACGCTTTTACACACGAAAGCTTTTACACACAGACGGTTTTACACACAGACGCTTCTACACGCAGACGCTTTTACACGCAGATTCGTTTTACACACGCACACACGCTTTCACACACAAACGCTTTTACACACAGACGCGTTGACACACAAACGCTTTTACACACAGACGCTTTTACACGCAGATGCTTTTTACACACGCACACACGCTGTCACACACAAACGCTTTTACACACAGACGCTTTTACACACACAACGTCCATCGCATTTTTGCCTCAGTTTTTGACGTCCAACGTCCATTTCGTGCGTAAGGATTACGATTGAAGAAGTCAAATCGTAATTTTTCCTCAGTTTTTGACGTCCAACGTCCATTTCGTGTGTCAGGGTTGCGATTGACTAAGTAAAGTTGCAATTTTTCTTCAGTTTTTGACGTCCAACGTCCATTTCGTGCGAAAGGGTTGCGCGCGACCAATAAAAGTTGCAACTTTTCCTCAGTTTTTGACGTCCAACGTCCATTTCGTGTGTAAGGGTTGCGATTGACTAAGTAAAGTCGCAATTTTTCTTCAGTTTTTGACGTCCAACGTCCATTTCGTGCGAAAGGGTTGCGCGCGACCCATAAAAGTCGCAACTTTTCCTCAGTTTTTGACGTCCAACGTCCATTTCGTGTGTAAGGGTTGCGATTGACTAAGTAAAGTCGCAATTTTTCCCCAGTTTTTGACGTCCAACGTCCATTTCGTGCGAAAGGGTTGCGCGCGACGGATAAAAGTCGCAATTTTTCCTCAGTTTTTGACGTCCAACGTCCATTTCGTGCGAAAGGGTTGCGTGCGACCAATAAAAGTTGCAATTTTTCTTCAGTTTTTGACGTCCAACGTCCATTTCGTGCGAAAGGGTTGCGTGCGACCAATAAAAATTGCAATTTTTCTTCAGTTTTTGACGTCCAACGTCCATTTCGTGCGAAACGGTTGCGCGCGACCAATAAAAGTTGCAATTTTTCTTCAGTTTTTGACGTCCAACGTCCATTTCGTGCGAAAGGGTTGCGTTTCGTGGCGCTCCGGCGGCACCGCCCCCGCCTTAAGAGAGAATAGAAGAAGAGCGAGAGGAGATCTGCAGATGTGAAGGTGTGAAGATCTAGATCTGCAGGTGAGGGTGTGAAGATCTAGATCTGTGTGAAGATCTAGATCTGCAGGTGTGAGGTGTGAAGATCTAGATCTGCAGGTGTGAGGATGTGAAGATCTAGATCTGCAGGTGTGAGGATGTGAAGATCTAGATCTGCAGGTGTGAGGGTGTGAAGATCTAGATCTGCAGGTGTGAGGGTGTGAAGATCTAGATCTGCAGATGTGAGGGTGTGAATCTAGATCTGCAGGTGTGAAGGTGTGAAGATCTAGATCTGCAGGTGTGAAGGTGTGAAAATCTCTAGATCTGCAGGTGTGAAGGTGTGAAGATCTAGATCAGCAGATGTGAAGGTGTGAAGATGTAGATCAGCAGATGTGAAGGTGTGAAGATGTAGTATAACGGCTGCTTTTTTACGAAGAACCCTTCGCAGGCGCTCTCGGGAAAAATGGGAAAATGGTAGGTGTAGTGCCGGTGTTCTTCAGTTGTTCCTTGGTTTTATTTGATCCGCACAACGAGGCCAGTTCCGGCAACAGTGCAGATTTTTGTTTGTCATGACACGGATGATTCCGTGAGGGCAGGTTATGTGTCCTGCTGTGGCAAAAACATCTTTCAAATTACCTGGAACTGCTCGCTGCTGGGAGCTGATTTGCCATACTGTTTCGGGACCTGTCTTTAATTACGTGACCAGGCGGTATGGGTAATTTGCAGCGCATAAACCAAATGAATGGCATTGGATGCCTAGAATCAAAATGGCATGCAACAACAGGGAAAAACAAATGGAAACGTTTGGAACTTGTGTCTAACCTGCATAATGTGGTGCAAACAACAAACCAGATTGGACCACTTGTGCGATGCTGGGTTCGTGATCATGTTTCCAATGCAGTTTGTTGTGGACAATTTTTGGCCTTGCGTCTCATAAAAACCAATGAGTTATGGAACTAAAAAAAATGCAAGTCGTGTCACTTCCTGTAACAAACAAACTGTGCCAACCATCAAAACATTGTTCAATTTGATTCAAACAAAACATCGGTCGTTGCCGTTTGGCTAAATTTTGCAGCACCGCGCCAAATTGCCAGGCCCAATTTGATACGGAAAACAAACGGATGGTGGAGATGTTTGTCAAAAACAACCTTGGGCTGTTTGGGACGTGACCCCAAAAAATCACAACCCGTTCTCAGTTGTGGCATGTTTTCTCCCAACCCAAACATGCAGTCCCATTGAAATTTTTCATTGCTATCCATTGTTCCAATCGAACGGATCTGTGCACATTTTGTAGTGTTTGTGATTGATTGATCACATATAAAAAACATATTTGTCAATCATTGGCAGTTGCCAGGAACTTGTCCCCCCGCTTGCCAAGATGTCGATAGAGTTGAACGCTCAGTCTTGATTGGTCCACGTTTCATGTGTACATGTTTTTTTTTTGCAACTATCATGTATGCCATTCTTGTACATACTAGGGTTTTCTGACAACATTTTTTTTTTCAGAACACTTAATTGAAGGTCCTTTGCGCTCAATTTTGGAATGCAGTGTTTTTTTTGTGAAAAACATTGGCCAGTTCCCGTGTCTATGTGGGCAACATCGATTGGAAAATCACGTCGGAAGATCTGAAGGACAACGGGCGTGTGATTTTGGCAAGCAAAACATCTTCAAACTGCAACTTGACATGCCAACACCAGCGCCCACACCTGCGACAATTTTTTGATGTCAGACGATTCTTACAACATTTTTTTTTGTTACATCAGAAAATGCAATTGTTATTATGCACGCACCCTGTGAGGAGCACATGAAATCCGCTGGAGATGTGGTGCGAGTACGGAACCCCTGCAACACGGGTTTGATTTCTTTGTTGCTACTGGATGCTACTCGGACCGATGGTACAGTACTGAGTTGCGGTGATTTTGGTTCCACAAGGCCGAGATCTTCACAGATGGCACTGGCAGATCCAAGGGGGTTGGTCTCGTCTATTTTGACTCGCCTGAGGCGTGGACTTGTGCTGCAAAAATTGACAACACGATTTGAATCACTTTGGGACATGTCAACGAAATCAGACGACATTCTTGTGTGCCAGGATGCCAATGCAGCCATTGCCAAGCTCAACGATTCCATGTTGGGCGAGCGCATGATCTTTGTGCGTGAGGAATGAAATTTGGAGATGGTCATTTTGGCAGTTGTTCTTCGTGTAGGATACCATGTTGAAACTTTGAACTGATAACTGTGAAACAGTCTGTGGGTGCCAGGACCGAAAAGAAGGAAAAGGATTCAAAGGCGAAAAGGGCGAAGGCTACGATGGAATTTTTGCTGTGTGGACGAATCTCTTTGTTGTCTCTTGCTGTGTTCTTCCAAAGGGTTTACATTTTGTTGTTTAGTTGAGAAACGTTGAGAAACGTGCAAAAACGTTGAACACACGGAGACACCTAAGACACAGGGAAGCGTCTTCAGAAATGTTCAGACGTATCAATGTATGATAATGTATGTACATTTTCTTCAGTCTTACAGGAAAAGGCAAAAAAGGAGATAAGGGCTACGGCAAAAGCTACGACAAGGGCTACGACAAGGGCTACGACAAGGGCTACGAGAAAGGAGAGAAAGGCAAAGGAAAAGGTAAAGGAAAGGCGCGGGAGAAATCCAGACCTGTGCTGTGGGTCTGGCTCCAAGTTCTATTCAATGCAAAACCACAAATGTTAAACTGTAGCAACATGTAGCAACACCGTCGCATTTTTGATCCATATGTACTCTATATACTTCATATCTGATTTAGCATCATCAAATGTCATTTTATATATTTTGTGGTACATGTCATGTACATTTGTATATGATATACTTCAGGTATAGTTTATAGATGTTTATAGATGTTTATAGATGTTTATAGATGTTTATAGATGTTTATAGATGTTTATAGATGTTTATAGATGTTTATAGTTAGAATATATTGCATACGGCATACATATCATTGTTTTTCACAGGAATCCTCGGCCAGGGCATGCGAGTGGGCCCAGGTGACCGAGGCCGATTGGTCTATGTTCCTGGACGGCATCACCCCAGATGGTTTCCCCTGAGTTTTTTCTGGTGATGAGAATTTATGGGTATTTAGGTAGGCGGGTAGGCATATAGGATCATATAGGTTTGTAGGCATATGCTATAGGAATGTAGATGAATATAGTATACAGGTATACAGCTATGCATAGGTACGCTTTGAGTATTGTATAGGTAGCAACTACGTAGCATATAGCTGTACAACGAGTAGTACTCAAGTCTCACGTTTGAGGTACGCTATAAGGGGTATATAAACAGGTTTAAGGTGGGGTCCAGGGACCGGACTCATATGTGCGTATGGTCACCCCCACACCAGAACCTGGACATACATATAATGTACATTTACATGTACATGTACATATACGTACACATGAATGAATATGTATATAGACATGCATATTGTATTGTATTGTATTGTATTGTATCATATTATACTATATTATAATGTATTATACTATATTATACTATATTATACTATATTGTACTATGTTATACTATATTATACTATATTCTATTATATTATATTATATTCTATTATATTATATTATATTATACTATATTATTTTATACTATATTATATACTATACTATACTATTATATTATATTATATTATATTATGTTATGTCATGTCATATTATATTCTATTATATCATACCATATTATATCATATCATATTATGTTAATTTTATTATATTACATTACACTATATTACATTCTATTATATTACATTATGTTATATTATATTATATTATATTGTATCATATTATATTATATCATATTATACTATATTGCATTTTATAATATCACACACACATATATATATATAGACACTGTGCACATATGTGCATATACATGTATATTATATTCATCATTTCTGTATATATTGACAATTTTCACCTTGTTTTAGCTATATCAGGCAAGATCCTGTCGTGAAGTTGCAAGGGGCATGACCCATTCTCAACATTGTTTGCCTCTGTTCTCTCGACGCAATTTGGTCCTGTATGATACTTAAACATCATTGTGTGTCATCGCCCTGGGGACGACTTAGTCACGGCTTAGTCACGGCTTCGTCACGACTTCACAACTCCAAGAGCTGAGGTGGGGAACCTCCCATCTGGAACTCCGTGGCAAAAGGTGAAGGCGATGACATGGCACAACAAGTTCTTTGTTCTCTTCTGGATGATGATCTTTAAAGTACTTTAAAGGTAGATTTTACCTTTTTACCTCAGCATTGTGTGTCATGTCGTGCTGTGCTTCCAGTCGCCTCTGGCCTCGGAGGATCTCTTCAGAAAGCACGGCAGTGTGATCCGCGTGGAGATGCCCACAGACGTAAACGGCGAATCTAGAGGCAAAGTGCAGCATTGTTACATCGAGTTACATCGAGTTAGATCGAGTTACATCGAGTTCCATCGGGTTCCGATCTACATCACAACTCAAAGTTGTGTTTTCAAGTTGAGAGATCAAGATGGGCATGGAGCAGAAGTGAGTCACAGAGTATTATAATGTAACATATCATTTACACATATTTATACACAGCCATTCGGTCATTGTGACATTCGGCAGCGACCTGGTTTGCGGCGTTTGAGGACATGGCCAGGTCCTGTTTGAGACAGAAGAAGATGTTCAGGGCTCAGGCTGCCGGCACCTGCTCCAGCTGCACCTGGGCATCTCTTGACCCAAATTCTGCCCCCGTTGCGGTCAAGCTGCCGGGAAAAGGAACTGAAAAAGCCAAAAGGCAAGGCGATTCGTTCCGTTCCAACCCCGTTCCAAAGCGGTTCCGAAGCGGTTCCTAAGCGGTTCCTTCGCTTTTCACGTCAGCTGCCCTTGGCCAAGGCTCAGTCAGCGATCCAGGCGTTGAACCAGACGGACTTCGAAGGAAGGCCGACTTGGCTCAGACTTGGAAAGTCGCACAAACTGCACTGTGTCTAGTGACTGTACTGATTCATAGGAAATTTCTATGGATTTCCATGGATTTCCAGTGACCTTACCATGAATGCACACGAACGCATGAGGTTTTGCATGTGTGACTTCTAGAAGGGGTTTTCGCGTCATCCTTGCGATATTTTGCAACCTGTTTTCAAGCCACGTTCTGAAACCTCTGCCATGCTTTTCAGGTCCATGGTGGTTCGCCTGGACAATTACGTTTGACGCCTTCCAATGCTGCTTGAGCACCAGCTCAGCATTGATTCCTTAATATTCTGACTCGAAACAGACTCGCAGTAGGTTACAAAATACCTTAAATCACTTATAAATCCTGCAGAAGTTGCATGGAGGTTTACTCCAGGCGGTGGCAAGCTTGCCAACAGAGCTCGAAGCTTCCATTCAACACAGGTCCAGCATGGTCCAGCATCCAGTTCAGGTCCCATGTTTCAAAACAGGTCCCAGGATCGTAGGAGGATCATTATATGTGCAAATAGCTAAATTAGCTAATGGATCTAAATGGATCTAGTGAATCTAGTGGCTAATGGATCATTTTACTATATTTTACTGCTTTTGCTGCTGTGGTATGGCCCAAAAAGAGGGCCCATATGACCAGAGTGGAAGCGGAGGTGGATAGCCGGAGGGAATTGTTTCCACACAGGGCCAATGGTGCCACACTGGCACCCTGGGGATGGAAAAGAAGAGGAATCAGTAGGACCTGAGTAGGAATCAGTAGTTCTGACATGTTCTGACAGATTGTGTGAACCAAGAGCTTTCTGCATTTCGGAAGGTGAGCAGTCCGCTAGCAGTAGATCCTCAACATATCTCAACATGATGATTGATTGGTAGGCCGCGCATGTTGTGTAGTTGTGTGTATACATGAAGATATATCGGATTATGACAAGTTATGGATGTCATGTCACAGTCCTTGGTTTGCCTGTTTGTTCTGGAAGCTTCTCCTTCTTGAAAAATAGTATTCGTCTGAACAGAGAAGGCATTTTTTCAAAGGAACATGAGGAAAAGCAATGTACTCCCACCGCAAATTCCATGCCCAGCGGATGGCATTTTCAAACTGCTGGCATTTGCACAGGCTGATTTTTTCTGAATTGATCATCTTTCCAGATCTTTGACAACTTTATTTCTACAATTTCCTATTGAATTGATCAGAATTGACATGTCAACGGACAGCATTTTGGCCAGGCACGACAGAGGGGTTTTTGTTTGTGGATGCAGACTTTGTGTCCAGAATTCAGATGGATTTTATAAAGATGCAGTTCAAAAAGGGCGGCACTCGTTTTGATTGAAACTACCACTGTAGGACCAGGTATCAAAATTAGAAAAGTCCATTGGCTTCCAGTATCTTGCAGAGCGGTCACGAAGAGAACTGCTCGCCCTGACAAAGTGGTCAAGTTATTTGGCGTTCTGCCCAAATTCATTGGGACCCTCCAAAAACTGAATCTCTGCCCAGTTTCCGACAGGTCCTACCTTTAACATCTTTAACATTGCATGGTTTGCTACACTTTGCAATCCACATGGTCCATGGCACATTTCATTTGGAGATTTAATCGTTGACAGCTATTGGCTTTGCAAGCTGCTTCGCTTAGCATGATTCGCCACAGTTCAATTGATCCTTTCTGGTGCAAAAGCGTCCTACTTCAAGCATCCTACCATAGGTATGACGCTACCCTCCTCCACACAACTCAGCCAAGGAGTTGTCTCCAAAGCAACCGCAAAGGCACAGGCATTAAGAAGCCGAAGTTTTTGTGAAGCCGATTTCTCAACCTGCCAACAGTGCGTCTCGCGGATGCCCCGTAAGATCGTCAAAGAGAAGGAGCTGCTGTCAATAGCGTAAGTGTTTTGCTTTCTTGGTATGAAAGCATCAGTCATTGATTCTCGCGTCGATGTCAAGTGAATCAACCCTTTCCTGAATAGCTCCTGGCATAGATGCTGTGCCAAAAAAGATTCCCAGGAGAAGCCTGCTGAGTCCACCAGTCCATGTTGAGACACTGTCAGACACTGTCCAATTTGTTGCTGGCACGGCAGTTTCTGAAGTTCAGTCGGTACACATGCTTTGCAGCTCCCTTTGCAGCCTTTTGCCAGGTTTTTTGCCCTGCTTCTCAATACAACAACCAAAGATGAGGTGCATCCAAAGACTTCAACTGCTCTTTCACAGCAGTGAGAGTTGGAATAGTGAAAGTTTCACAATGACCTTGGCCCAAAGGGAGAAGATTTCCTGGACTTTGCATATCCAGAAGAATCTGCGCTCAAGGCGGGCAATTGAACTCAATGTAAGCTTCAGGACAGATTCAGACAGACATTTTAGCTTCGCAAACGAAAAGGGTGGTCGATTCTCATGGTAAATCAATGGCAGACTTATCAGCGCAGTACCCAACTGAGTCGAATGTTGAGTTGTACACAAAGATTTAAGTATACGCATTATACACACGCTTGCGTCTCGAAAAGGATTTTCTCTTTCGTTGACAACATTTGACAACTAAGCGGGAGCCCTGCACTGTCCTGGCTCGAGCTGCAGTCACCAGATGGGAATGGATGCCTCAAACATTGGCTCATTGGCTCAATGGCTCAATGTGCATTGTTTGAAACAGGCCATAGTTCAACAGTTCACTGTTTGTCAATAAGAATATCCCTGTTTTTTCCAACTGATTTCCCAAAAATATCCACAAGAACACCGTGTGACACATTGCTCTGAGGAGCACACTCTTTGACGTACTTTTCCAACTTTTTCCAAACCTGCCTTCCCAAACATTTTCTCAAGATGTCTCGACACACCATGTCACCATTCCACTTCTAAAACATTTTCTCTGAGGGCTGTGTCATCTGTGTCATTTGTGTCATCTGTGTCCCGGATCGTGACTCTCACAACGCGAGCAAAGCTTCGCCATGGGATCTCCAGAGATGGAAGGCCGGTTTCCAGTGACGTTGCACACGTAGCACACGTAGCACACGTAGCACAGGTGCTCTCGGATCATCTCTACCAATCCGTTGCTACGACTGTGACGATGTGCCAGGAGCCTCAGGAGCAGCTGAGAGCGCTGAAAGCTCGGATGGTTTTGAAAGGTGGGCACTGTCAGACCGTCACTGAATTGGCTTGGAATCGGTAAACAGTTTCAGGATTTCTGAGGTTTGCTTTGTGGTAGCAATGCTTGCCGCATCAGATGTGAAACCTTGATTTCCGATTCGACATATTTCAACAATCGTGCGTTGAATCTTCCTGCCTTCAAACAGTCAAATGTTGTTTGGCGATAATGATGATGATGATGATGCTGCCCGCTAGGCCGGCAGAACAGACTGCATCCAGACGCTGCAAGCAATGGTAACCTGGCATGTGCAGAGATGCAGTCCACGCCCTGTGTTGTGATCCTCTCTTGCAATGCAAAAAAACCGTAAAAGAGCAAAACAAGATGAAACATGATCAAACAGGACAGAAGTATAACACAAGGCTAAGCAGGATACAACCAGATAACACAAGTACAAATCGTAGACCAACAACTTAGTGTCGAGAAATGGGAGCTCCCAGGCAGACATTTGACTCGTCTTATCAGCAAGTACGGCCAGACCAAGAAATGGCGAGAGGCCGCGAGCCCAGCTGAGCCTTTGCACCGTCGGGGGATCAGATTCTGACATGGAGATATGACCTGGCCAGCTGAGGATTTGCAGAACTTTGCTCTGAACTGGTAACATGTTATAAGTTATAACTGGTTACCATCTATGCACATCTATGAACTGGGCGCGAAATAGCTCTGAAACAGGTGAACAAAGGAACTGGCGCACATTCAAGCCAGAATCCAGAATCCATAGCAACATGCATGAAAGATGAGTTTTGGTTCAGGTTCAACACATATTTTGCCCATTTTTGCCTGGTGTTTGGAAGACGTTTTGCTTCGGGTTTTGTCAGGTGCTGGAAATCTTGGCCATGACCTCTCCGACCTCAGTGGTCACCTGGTCTGCAGCTATCTCAGCCACTTGGCAAGGCGTTATAACTTTGAAGATCTTTGAAGTATAGGAATCACAAGTTGGATGGTATGATGGCATTTGTTTGAACATGCCCCGAAAACCCCGTAGATTTCAAAGAGGCCTCAGATATCCTCAGATAAAGATTTGAATCAGTTCCTACAATATTGGGATATATTGGGATCTACACCTAGGGGCACCAGAACTGGGTCAGCAAATGTATGGGATCCTTCGCCGGATCCCTACCGGATCCCTGAAGGCCTGCAGCAAATGCAGCCAATGGCAAGAAGGCCTTGGAGTTTTTCAGCGAATGCAAGCCAAGGGTATCTTGGCGTGCAAAAGTTCCCTGAGGAGAACGTGTAGCTTTGCTTACCTGCGAAGAAAATTATCTTACAAGATTCAAAGTGTCATTTGCCAAGCATTTCACTCTGCCAAGATTTAGCCAAGGTGTTTTGCCAGATCTTTTTGCGTTGAATGTGATTGCCATTGCTCAGAATGCTGGAAGTCGGTGGAGTGATGCAGTGGAAATCCTCCATGTGGTGTCCCGCATGTCCTTGGAGCCCACAGCGCAAACGCTGTCTCCAGTGATGAGTGCATGCAGCCAGGCCAGGGTTCGCCCAGCCAACAGCCACTTGGGTGGATCGAAGAAAGCTCGAGTGATGACGGTGATGAGGCATGGATATCCCATGACAATACATAATAAATCATAATAATACACAATAATACAATGTTATGCGAAAGGTCATGCCATCTTATGGCATGTGCCATGCCATGACATGACATGCCATGAGCCCGTCTCCAGGCGAGTCTTTGGGGCGTCTCCTTGGCCGCCTTCGGAGCGTTCGGAGCCGGAGACGAAGTGCTCTTGAACTGTGCCATGACCGCATGTCAAAAAGGTGATCGATGGGTACAGGCTGGGCTGCTGGGCTGCTGGGCTGCTGGGCTGCTGGGCTGCTGGGCTGGGCCCCGGCTAGAAGTTGTGATGATTGCTCACTATCTGATCTTCGACTGGTTTTTTCATTTCCGGTTGTCTCACTTGTCAGCCATCGCTGCCGAGATATGCTGAGAGATGCCGAGTTGATGTTTTTTTCCAAAAGACTGTCCCGGAATAGTGGAGTCTCGGAGTAGAATGGAGCAGAATGGAGCAGAACGTCCCAGGCTTTGCGGATCTTGCGTCGGCAGCAAAGTGTGGTCGCCTTCAGCGCGGTGATCGCAGCCTCGTCGTGGTCCCACGGATTCGGTGTCCTCAATGAGATGCGCTGTCGGAGCATCCGTCCAGACACCGTGGCCTTTTCGTCTCTAAAAGGTCTCTCTGCTGATAGAACACTTTGTGCCGAGTTTGAAGCTATGCCAGCTATGCGGAACAGATTTCCTCTTGCAAAACATGGCAAAACAAAGCCAATCAAACTTCTTGTCCAAGAGCACTTTCAGATTCCTTGTTGGATTTCAGTCGTTGATCCCTGTGCCTTTGTTGACCGTTGACCCAGGTTCCTGGCAGCTGGCCACATCTTTTCTGAAGCTCGAGGCACCGGACGTGGTAAGCTTTGGAAGGATTGCGAACGATTTGGAAAGCTGGACACAGGCGTGCGCCCTGTTGCAGGAGATCGGCTGATGTGGATACTGAATGATACTGAGATACTGAGATACTAAGTCAACTGAAATGGACATGGTCCCATGGTGGACATATGTGGACATGCACAGTCGCATAGTGTGCAGATAGTTTTGATGCCAAGTGATGTTGACTCGGCTCTTTGAGTCTGTGGACAAGGAGATGCCAGAGTTTCATCTACAAGCGAATCTGGTGATTTTCAACGCTGTTCTCTCGTCCTCTGAAGTGTCTGGAGATTGGTGTTCTGCTTTTCGTCTTTTGCAAGACGTCCAAGAGAAGCATCTTAGCAAAATTGTTTGGCAACATCTTTTTATGTACTTTGATATTTTGCCAAAGGTCTGCAGTCTGAGTCAATTTGATACATCTGGCATCAGACATGGCGGATTTGAACAACATCTTCATCCTTCTCAATGTTCCGTTTTGCCAAGATGAATGTGTTGTCTGTATGTCTATGCTTTTAAGCGTTTGTCTTTGCCTTTACCCCTTCTGTATGTTTCTTTCTGTTCTATATCACTATTTCAAACAGCTCTTGAGCATCAAAGTGGAAGCATCATGAAACATAAATGACATTGGACTTTGTACTTGTACTGGCATTGAAACAAATCGATACTGTACAGTACAAAGGTATTACAAAGGTTATCTTAGAGTTATCTTTCCATTTTCATTCTTTTCCATCACAATGTATATATCGTATCTTACATATGCGTATAATATATACTGTGCAGGTATGTATATATAGATATATGTATATATATATGTATGTATGTATATATATATATAATATGTCAATATGTACATATGTTGTATAACAACGCATTCATTGTGCCGTACTTGCCTTTTAATCACTTCACTGCAGGCTTCGCAGTGACGTGGTATCTCTCTCAGCAGCCTGCTCTGCAAGCTCCACAAGCTGGCGCCACAGCTGGGCCATGCTGCGGCACGGTAGAGCCTGCACCCTGCGGCCCAACGTTGTGACAGAAAAAACGAACCGTTGAAACGTGAGGTTTTCGAAGGTTTTTCGAAGGTTTTTCGAAGTGTCAGAAGTCAGTCTTTTAAACGCGCCTTAAGCTAATCTTGAACGAGTCACTCTGAGGTTTTGAGATGTCAGACTCAGATGAAGAGATATGAGATATGCCATGAGATATGCCATGATATGACTCATATGAGCAGCTAGGAAGCTAGGAATTGACCTTTGGAGACTGCCCTTGTCTTGCCAGGAGCTTAACTTCCGCACTCACTGCTTGCGAAAGAGCAACGCTCTGGCAGATGGCACTGGATGGCTTCGTTCCTTGGCAACCCCGAAGTCTTCCTATCGATGGTTTCGTTGACGAGTTGACTCTCGGTTGACTCCGAGTTGACTCTCAGTCGACTCTTGCAGTGTCTTATAGTGCAGCAGTGCATGATTGTACATGGTCCACCAAGAGAATGGTATAGACTATAGAATATTACAGAATGGTTCTGAAGGCTCGAAGGCTCCATGTTTTACCACAAGGCGGAAACAATGGAGCTCTCAGTGGTGGCATACAATGCAGCCATCAGTGCATGCGAGAAAGGCAGCCGCTGGAAAGAAGCCACACGGCTGCTCTGCCAAGAGTGGTCAGAGAGGCAAGGCCACAGGATTTCTGCCGCACATCCTAACCATTTCATCAGCTTTCAGGTCATTTGATCAATTTGATCCTTCAAATTCATGGCCAAAAAACGTGAGATTCTTATGGTTGCTGCGGTTGCTCATTTGAGATTCCTTTGGTTTTACATCGTTTTCCTATTCGTTTTCCATTTTTGATGGTGCATTTCGCCTCCAGGCTGCTGCCAGACCCCGTGAGCATCACAGCAATCACGGCTGCCCTTGAACGATCGCAGGCAGGTCCGTGGGACAGGTAGGTAGGACAGGTAGGCGTCAAGTGCTTGGATCATGGGTTTAGGACCATGGGCCATGGGTTTATCATGGTTTATCTATCTGTTTTTTTCAGGTTTCTTCAAATGATTTCCAGTTGGCCAACGCCCCTGGGGGTAGTAGACCGAGGCAGATTGGACGACTTTCCAGACTTTGTTCGATTTTCTGGAAAGGATTTCTCTTGAGCCCGACTGCATTGCGCCCCTTGTCAGCCACAATTTGAACCTAGTTTTCTAGACAGTAGGGATGTACATTTTCGTTAGGTTTGGATATGTTTGGATTCGGCTTGCATGTTCTATCGAAATCTGGCCTGAGGTATTCTTATGGCATCAGTGCATCTGTGCGGCTCAACTGCCGGCTGCAGGGGCTAAACCTCGCAGGGAAGATTCAGCAGAGGGGTTTGGAGTTCACCCAGAAGGTGCAGCTGTCACTGGCAAACATGTTATTTTTTTAGATGTTTTATTCCCATTCATCTTTACTGAAAACCATTCATGAATAATGGCCTCTTCCTCTTGATTGAAAACCCACGACAGACGAAGCTGAAGCTGGAGGTCAGAGATGGTGCCTGAATCGCCAGCTGTGAAAGATTCGTTTGAGGAAAAAGGATCTTTGCCCGCTTATGAGAGCTCGAGTCGTTACAAACAGTGTCCCGACTTCTGCACTTTTGATGTTGCAGATTCATTTGCAAATATGAATGGGTTGTGCACCCTTGGCTGCAGGCTGTTCTACCGAATTGTCAAGGGGTATTGCTGGCGAGCTGTGGAGTCATGAAGGCGCCTTGGGTCATTGGCCCCATCAACTCCCAGTCGAGGCTTCTTGACAAATTGCTGGGGGGATTACATGAGGGGCGGTACCTGTTACGTACCTGTTATGTACCTGTTTCAGATCCTGTTTCCATGATTTCTGTTTTTTTTTAAATACCCGTCTTGGGAGGCGGCAGTTGGGCAAGAGGTCTGGGGCCTCAGGGCTGAGGTTTTTAGAGCGAAGCGAATGAAGTGACATGAAGCACAGAATGATTCAAGGCCACCAGATCCTTGTAGAAGAACTATGGACAGAGTTCTGATGTTATGAACCTTATTGATTCCTTATTGAAATTATGAAATCTTGCCATAACTTGCCATATCTTGCCATATCGTGTTTGCCAAAGCCGCGCTGGGCTCAAGCACATGCTGGTGTCGACCCGAAGTTCTGCAGACCTTGGGGCCACCTGGGGGCTCCGCACAGATGGCTCAGGCGCAGCTGACGGCGCAGCTGACGGCGCTGCCACTTCTGCTGGCAGCTGTGGTGGTTTTTGCGACTCTTCACGTCAGGAACCATGGTGGAGCATTGAAGTCCGTGATCACTTCCGTGTGGAGAATCTGCAAAGAATCTGCGAATCAGTTACCTTTTGCATTCACCAAGTCACTAGAGGAAGAGGAGAGGACAGCACAGGTTGAAGCAGCTCTTTGGGATGTGCGTGCCAGGGCATATATGCATTCCGTCCAGTTTATGGTACATCTCAGTGCTGCTGGATGTCTCGGGATGCTGTATGCTCTTTATATGAATCCTTCAGTAAAACAGCTCGTGCAGCTTATCTTCTGCTCGTGTGTCTACCTTTTACACCATTTGGCTATAGCAGGCAAGTTGACGTTGAATGCTGCCAATTTGAGGAGACTTTTCGTTCTATTCCAGGGATCCTTCGTTCTATTTGTTTTGGCCACCCCTGGTGGTGATGATGGCCGTGCAATCATCACGCAGGGCTTCAATGCATGTTCTCGGATGATCATGGCGGTGATTTTCATGGATACCTTGACCGCAGTTCCATTGCAGCTGGCCATCTCCGTGGCTGAAACTGCGGTGCATGTCATGCAGACCCAGCACTGGGCAGACATCATTTTGTTTGCATGGATGCAAACTCTCGTTGGTTGTGCCATCATTTCGTTTACGGTCATTCTGGAATACTGGGTGATCTCGCACATCTCAGTGTTGTTGGACACTGAGTCGATGGTGTCTAGCTTCAGAAGAATGCTTCGAGGCGTCAGTGATGGTGAGGTCCTACTGAATGAAGAAATGCATGTTTGTGAAGATGCAGATTGCTTAAAGCATTTGCTGATGACACAGAGCAATTTCAAAGGCAAACACTTTGAGCGACTGCTGATGCCAGAGGAAACTTGTCGCTTCCAAGATTTCCTGAAGCAGTCTATGACTGAAGAGCGCAAGCCTGACGAGCAGAGGACCAAGACCCCACCATGTCTTCGCATCTCTTTGCGAGGAGCTTCAGACATCCGCGTTGGAGTTGATCTGTGGCATGTCCTAATGCCAGGCAGAAGAGATGGAGTGCTTCACTTGTTGGTACTCAGGGAGGACAGCGAAGCAAATGGAACGACGATTCCCACGACCGCAACGATTCCCAGTGCCACCTTGGTGAAGAATATGCCTCTTGGGCATCTTGGGCATCTTCCAACAAGCTCAACATCCACCAGTGCGCGTGATTCTGATCGAGAACCTTCAGAATCATCCATATCATCCATGTCGCAAAAGTCTTGCACCTCCTTGATGCAGCATTTTCCAGAGCTTGTGGATCTGACTTTGTGTGTGGATGCGACTTTGTGTGTGGATGCCACCACGCCTTGGTTTGATGTGGAACAAGCCCATTTGAGCTTTCAAAGGCAGCCACAGAGTTCAGATTTCTCCATGCCCAGTCTGCGTCGTTTGGTGCGTCCCACCGATTGGGAGACGGTGAGATCCAAGTTGAAGAAGGTCACCGATTCGAGCGGATCGGACCGCGGATCGAGCGGATCTGACAGATCTGACCTTTGTTTGAGGCTGGTGGATGATGCCAAGAGGTGCATGGTTTCCCATGGACAGGTGTCCAAATACACACCACCCAGAGGCAGTGACGGTGTGAAGCTTTGTTTGCAACTCACCGAGATGGTGTTTGAGGACAAGGCTTCAAGAGATTGGAGCCTTGAAGCGATCAGTGAATAAGATAGTCTAAGACTCTAAGATAGTAACATAATGCAACATAGTTATAGTTAGGAGATGTTAGGAGACTCTGCAGTGCACAGCATAGTGAACTGCAGTGAACTGTTCTCTGCGCTCTCTGCTTCCCACAGGCAGAGAAGTGGCCGTCCGCCAATCCGCAGAGATTGTAACACTGATTTTGAAATAGGTGGCATGTTATGGCACGTTTCGCTATTTTCACCAGTTGCAAGCCTTGCTGACGAGGTTGAGGTTCGTCCTCCTTCTAACAGACACAGCTCACCCGGGCAGAAAGAGATGGCAGTACGGCCGAAGCTGATCACACTAATCGATAGAAATTGCCGAAGTCCCATGAGTCTATTTTCAACCTGTGGTAATTCAACCTCGACTGCGGTCGAAGATGTCATGATTTGTGCAGCGGTCTAGGTGAATTTCATGGTCTTCCGAAGTCTGCAAGGACAAGAGTTCAAGGCAAGATTGTGCTTCGCTGCAAAGCACCTCTAAATGGCCATATTACCTGCTGGCCGGACTGCACGACTTGCCTAAGACTTTCCTAAGACATTCTCCTCGTTTTATCTCGTTTTATTTGAGTCCATTTAGAGTATCTTCGGTGCTCTTGCAGGTGGCCATGCGTCGTCAAGAAAGGTGGATCTTATGTGTCATCCTGCTTGCTCCTGCAACGGACCGCATCACGGCTGTCAGATGCCGTCAACCGATGTTGTCTGTGTGTGTAGAGAGGCTTCAAGGGATAATTTCAAGATGAGTGATTTGAAACTGAAAGAATTTGAAGCCAGGCCGCGCAGGAAAAAACATGAAAAACAGACATTTAGTTTCCACATTTTTGGACCTACAGTGCAATGTGTTTGATTCTTGACGGTTGGATCAGTTGGATCCGTTGGATCTGGATCTGGATCCGCGCAGGACTCCTTGGCTCAGTTCCTGGTCGACGAGGCTTGGACCCATCCCCAGCCGCTCGGTGGCGGCCGTGGCGGCCGTGGCGTGGCGAGGCACTGGCGCTGGTGCTGCTGCGACACGGGCGCTTCGCCAGCGTCAGTGATTTTAGGCCGGGTCGCCGAGGACAGCACCTGATTTCTGGCGAAAATTGGAAGTGGAACCACTGGAACCACTGGGACGCCTGGGATTCCTGGAACCAGATGCTTCAATCAATTTCCATGATTTCCATGTTTCATTTATATCCATCACATTTGTGGCAGCCCCTTCCAAGTCTCTGGGCCTAAACAGCGGTCGACTTGGGCGCCCAGGCAGTTGGAGCCCATCTTCAAAGCCTTGTCTGCTTTGGCATCTGAAGCACGGTCCAGACCCACTCCGTGCCTTGGAAACTATGTGAAACTGGAAGAGAAAGAGAGATTTCTTGAGTGGTGCAGCGACTTACAATGGTGAGCCCAAAATTCGGATGGGGATGGACACCCATTATGATCTATCACATTCCATCACGTTGATTTTTGATGATTTTTGTATCTTTCATTTTACCTTTTACATCATTTTACATCATTTTACATCTGTTTTAGAGCTTGGCAATCTTGGCAGGTATCCGCTGCTGGGCTTGATGCAGTGGCACTCTTTGACTTCAGACTGGCGCCAGGCAGAAATCGCAGCTCAGAATGGGACAACATTTCAGCAGCTCAGCTGGAGTTTTCGAAAACGGAACACATTCTGTGATGGGCTAAATCACATTAAATCACCAAATTTGAAGGTGATTGAGGAGCGGGTTGAGGAGTGGGAAAAGGGTTGGAAAGAGACCGTTGTGATCTCAGTCATCTCAGTCTCTGAATTGTTGACCTCGAAAGTCACAGCTGTCGCTGTCTCCCGAGGCGGTACGGCCCATGGCTTTGCCGCAGGGTTTTGCGCTCTTGTTAGAGCAGCAGGTGATGGCCACAAGCCACTCGAATGAACTTTCGATCTTTACCCTAAGGGTGGGAAGCAATGCGCTTCCGTGGAATTTCATAGAGAGATGCAGATGAGGTCTGGATGACGAGACATTCTCAGCTTGCATGCGGCTTTTGGCATTGGAGGTGCCGGACACGCAGAATGATCAGGGAAGCGAGGGCACAATCTCAGTAGTTTTTTTTTCCATGTTTGGAAATCTTACGATGCAATTGCACCATATTGTCACTTTACACGACCGCATCATTTTGTCTTCCTGAACCATGGATCACAAGATTGCACTGACCTCTCCCCCGTTTGAGGCAGCCGAGCCAACTCCAGCATCAAACGACTTCGACGTGAGGCCAAGGTCATCAAAGATGATCAGTTGGCCTTGGCCTTCCGGACTTTTCATCAGGTGCCACTCTCTGTTCCTCAACCCATCAGGACTGACATCAGCTGACATCAGGATGGAGCGGGTGGTCGTAAACTGTGCCGCCTGAAGGAGATGAGCCGCTGCCCTCACATCAGTACAGCCTGCTGCAGCCACTTGACAATCTTGTGGGACAGGTTGGACAGCAAGGGTTGAAATCGCTTGAAATGCGAAAAGAATCCAAAAGATGGTTAGATTAGAAGATGGCTAGAGGATTTTATATGGTATACATTTCAAAGTGAAAGAGGATTGGTTTAGCAAAACTGAAACTCTGGGCAGTGCGACAGTGGAACACAAACACTAGATCGACCTGTCCTGCCTTCAACACTGAGGAAGGGCAATTGGCAGCTAGCTTAATTTTGCAGATTGCTGGTGGTGTTTGTTTGTCTTTGAAGAAGTTTTTGCTGCAAGTTCTGAATTGATGGATGGATGACTTGAATTCGCCCAGGCTGCTCTTTTTGCTCTGGAACATGACAGATAAAGAGGCAGAGGTGGGCGCACTTTCAATCGTCTGAAGAGATACATTCCATCGCTGGTCGGAAGAAAGATGGTGAAGCTAGGATAGATTATTGATGATTATTGAGGCGGCGAATTCTGACAAATGTGGAACGCAAATTCCTGACGTAATGTGCAGACCAGCGCGCCGCCGACGCCCCCGTTTCGGGTTTGGTCCTCACTTTCACCGTTATTTCGGAGGGAGGACAGAGAGCCGTGGTCACAGCATCTCTTGAGGCCATGGCATCGGATCCCTTTGGCATCGATCTCTCCTTGGAGCTGCTCTCGAAACTGCCTGAGGAGCCGAAGAGGCGGACCGACGATCAGTCGAGTAGTCATCTAGTCATCGAGTCATCAATGATTTGAAGACCGATGACTACTGAAGGGTCGACTTTTGGGAAAGCTTTTTCCAAGACACTGGGGCCTTGCCCAGTGCTTTGAAAGACAAGACCCGCATTCCCCAAAAGGTAATCATTCTTTGGCCGATTTCATGGGTTCCTGTCTTGTGACATTCTCTACACCTGTCAGGCCTTCAAGCTCTCCAGGCAGATTTTGAAGTCAAAGCATATTCTTTCTGAGATGTGAACACTTTATCAACTTTTCCGACTTATCCGACTTCCAAGTTCAGGCTCTGTCTTCAGCCCACCAGCGAGGCTGGTCTGGAGAGCCAGTGATGATCATTGCTGTTATTGTTGTGACCAGTTGATGTTTCTGCACTTTTCGAGACGAGCTTTCAGGTCAACTCCAACCGGCGAAAAGAACAAGAGGCTGACTGATTCTGCCGATGTTTTTAGCATCACACGGTCACACGGGCATTTCTAGTCAGAATATTTGGGAATATGTTCACATATAATATATATGTATATATATATATGAGCAACCGTAAAAAACCCGGCAATACTAAATATGTATTCGACGGACATTGGTTTATGGAAATTGATGGAAATTGTTAAAAACACGAGGCAAGCGATGGGACCTTCCCAAATTAGCGATACCCCTTTTTCAAGGTTATGTCATCATATTTTTCTAATATCCACATTAGCGATACCCAAATATCACATATTATTCATAGTTCATCACATATATATATATATATATAAATGCAGCAGTTTCCTGCAAGCGATACCCCCCAAGTTTACCATATATCATTATTGTACAAACGTGTGGTAAGCGATGGGACCTTCCCAAATTTGTGGATGTCCTTTCCGTGAACCTAGGGTTTTCACAATCGCTCATATATGTATATATATAATATAATATATAATATATAATATATAATATATAATATATAATATAATATATATAATATATATATATATATAATATAATATATATATAATATAATATATATATATAATATAATATAATATATATATAAATATAAATAGTATATATAGATTATACATATGAGTATATGATATGTATATGCCAATTCTACAACAAATTCTGCAGCTACTGCAACTCTGTTTTAGCTGCATCACTGTCCCTGAGGGGCAGCTTCGGACTGACGTGCATGTTCAAGGCTGGCATCCGCATCTCGCTGACAGAAAGGGCTCTGAAAGGACCAGACACAGAATATCACAGAGATGTTTCCAGTTTTCGTTTTTCACCACGTTCACCACGTTCACCACGTTCACCGCGTTCACCGTTCATCTCTTTCCCACGTGGCCGAAGCAAAGCGGACAGCGACACTGCCAGGCTCGAACCAAAACCTCGGAGCCCATGGAGAAGGTGCAGAAAAAAGTCAGTAAGTCGACTTTCCAACGTGAATACATTAGCGATCATTAGAGATCATTAGAGATCATTGGAGATCATTAAATACTGCAACATGTCCAATATGATTTCGAGAAATTTCGAGTGTCTTCTCATGTTTCAGACCACATCCACAGGTTTCTCGTCCAGCCTCCTTCTGCTACGTGCTGGACGTTCCAGGCCTTGGACAACGCACACATGGCTGTTGCTCTCGTTGCTCTCGTTGCTCTCGCCTTTCGAAATGCTATGCTTTGAGGTGCATCCAGCTCCAGCGCCAGCTTTTCTCAGCTGCAGGAGTTTGGAGATTTTGGAGATTTTCTGAACATCCTGTTTCAGCTGCCAGTTTTTTTTTCCCCGTAGCCCGCAACTGTCAGCTGACCATCCCCAGGAGCCCAAACAGATCTCTTCTCCGCAGCTGCCAGAGGCCGTTGAGAAACTGCGGCGATTTCGAGCACGAATTTCAATCGTTAGATATGGTACAACGGTACAACCAATAAGAAAGACATAGAAAGACCCTTTTTGGGCGTGGCTTTTAATACCATCCAAATGCTAAAACTTGGTAAATGGAGTATGGATGAGTATGGTTTGAATGGTGTGTGAAATTGGGCTTGCACCAATGATGTCTTGAATCCTAGCATTCCTAGTCCAAGCTTAATTGTTCGCAGGAACTGCGGTGCCCAGCGAAGTCCTTGGACAATTTTGGCCATGGTTGGTGAATCGTTGTGATGAAGCCCGATGGGTGTACGCATCAAACGTTTTTCTGCAGATTTCAAGATGATTTCCAAATGATTTCAAGATGATTTTAAGATGATTTCAATGTCTTGAGTGCAATCGTGCAATCAAAACATTTTAGATCTGTTCCACAGTTCGACACATGGATGAAGGATGTGTCTCTTGAGGTCCTTGCGGGACATGCCAAAGGGAGGAGGTTCGTCATTTCCAACAGACCTGGGACAGTGTATCTCATTGTCAGTTTCATTTGAAAAACGACGTTGCCATGACGTTTTGACAGAAAGGCATTTTGTCCATGTTTTTTTTTTCAAGGTTTCTACCCCAGGGGGCCCGCAGGTCTTTCGAATGGACGAATTCAGAGTTTGGAGACTTCTTGGAAGAGTTGGGGGACTTGGCTTGGTCAGGGGCCCGGTAAACATCTTGAACAATTGAGAAGTTCACTGGTTCTCACCCAAGTCGCGTTCGTCTGGAACACAGGCTTTGGCGGACCTACTCCGAAAGGACCTTGCTCCGCCTTTGACATCGGCGACACCCTTGACACTTCCCCAGATGTCCCCAGATGTCCCCAGTTTGTGGAGCAGGAGATCTGCTTGGCGACAGGGGCCAGACACTGCATCTAAAAGGACGGGCGAGACGAAACGATTTGCAAATGGCAACCTGACCATGTTTGAAATCGACAACTTGCCAAATGAATAGCCAGAACATTGCCTGAATGGGAAGAAACTGCCAAGAATAGCTGGTAATGCCACTGGAAAGGATAGGAAAAATGAACATCGTTCATACTTGGATTCAAGGGACCCTTGCTCTTTGTTGCAATTTTGAAACACCACACATTTCTGCACATATTTACTTCACATAACGGCAGGTTGTACCTTGATGCGACATCCCAGCTGTCCAGGCATGTACTGGTAGACATTCTGCGTGGAGATCATTCCCTGGAGAAGTCACTTGGAGATGATCATCTTACTTCACAGATCTTCACAGCATTTCACAGCTGGTTACGCCCTACGCTTTGACGCTTTGACGCTTTGACGCTTTGTTTGGATCAGTTTGGGATCCGAAACGATCCCCGAGGATTTGGAACGAGAGTCTGGCAGGATCTGAGCTCTGCCAGAGCCCCGCTACGCCGCTGCGCCGCTACATGTTGCCCCTGGTTTCCTTGTTGACCGCAGCTCGAGGCAAAGATTTGGGGCCGGAGCCTGAAGATCCTCTAAAAGGCGGCAAGAAGACCGAGGTGGGACACCAATACTCCCCGGTGTCCGACACTGTTTAAACCAGACATTCAGATACCAACATGAAAGAAACATAAAGAAACAAATTAAGTGCAGCATTTGAATCAAACTCGAATTTCTTGGAAGGCCACCTTGATGGGCAGCGGTGAGCCTTGGAGATTTCAGGACACGTGGCCATTGACAAGACAGAGTTGTAACTGTTGTAACTTGACGTTATTTGACGTGTAACTGCTGTATATCTTGATGTAACTTGTATATCCACCCGGACCCTATAGGTGACCCGACCCTGTCTCAGGACGGGTCACCCTACTTAGCTTCTGACTTAACCGAGCTAATCAGCGCGGGTGCCTCAGGGGAGGTGCCTGGAAATGCTGTTGGTTGGATGAGCACATGTGAAAAATTGTGAAAGGTGGGCACAAAACGTGCCGACGCATGGTTAGCTGGTTCAGCTGGTAGCTCAGGAATCAGAAATCAAACATAAAGTCTGGTTTGTTACGGTTTGTTCTTGTGTTGTTTTTGTGGGTTTGTACTGTTTTTTTCGCTGAGAAGTTGTGTGGCTACTCCCGTCCCAAGGCTTGCCGCGCAATGGAATCTGTGGCACCTCCGGCGAGGTGCACAAGGGTTCTGTGGCCCCCCATGTGTTGCACCAATTTGCACCAATTTGCACCATGGATTCCTAAGAACTTGCCAGGCCGCAGGTCACCAGCTTGTCAGGTGCGCCTGTGTCGATTCGATGTCGATTCGTGTGTTTGATCAATTTTGATCACGGGTCAACGCCTTTTCAACGCCTTTCCGGCAGGGCACCGTGTGTTCCTAGCGATGACGGAGCAGTGACAGGTGCCAAAGAGCACCAGAATGCTGAGCCAAATACTGTACTGACAGCCGGCTGACTGTGCCGGTGATAGCGATTTATGACCAGAGCAAGACATTGCCCTCATATGACTCATATGTATGCACTGATTCCATCTTGCTCCAATATTTGTGCGCTTTTTTGGTTCTGGCAGATATAGCTGGGGGTGCAGTCAAGACTCCACCGATAGCACATTCCATGACAGCAAAATGCCATGTCAAAGAGACGTGATCTCTGTGCCTTGATGTAATGAAGCAAAGATTCAGGATCCCGATATCCCGATATTCTTTTTTGTGGAACCAGTGGAACCTTCATTTTTCTTTGCACCCCAAAGTTCCGGGCGTCCGGCAAGCCGCATGTCGTGCTCATCGCCTCTTGTCTGCATCTGTCGATGCATCGAACCAATCCGAGCCAGAATAATATATATTATCTACTCTACGGGTATATCTATACCTCTATCTCTATGTAGGTCTATATCTAAATATCTACACATCAACACATCTAGAATCTAGACATCTATATATCTATGTATCTATATATCTAGATATCCATATATTTTTGTATCTATATATGTATATATATATATTGATATCTATGTAAATCTAAATATCTATAGGGTGGCTATTTTTTTTTTTGTTTTCCAGCCGGGCTTTGTGGCTTCTGTGGCTTCTGTGGCTTTTGTGGGTGTGTGGCTTTTGTGGCTTTACCATGCTTTACCATGCTTTACCATGCTTTACCATGCTTTACCATGCTTTACCTACCTATCTATCTATCTATCTATCTATCTATCTATCTATCTATCTGTACACACACCTTGTATCCCTACATGTACCTTAATCCAACCCTCAACAGACTTTAAATAGACCCTAAACCAACCCTAGATAACCCTAAATAGCCCTAAATAACTCTAAGTAAACCCTAAACCAACCCTAAATAAACCTTAAATCAACCTTGAACCAACCCAAAAGAAACCCTAAACCAACCCTAAATAAACCTTGAATAAACCTTGAACCAACCCTAAAGAAACCCTAAACCAACCCTAAATAAACCCTAAACCAACCCTTATCTTTTTTTCCGTGACTGGTCTCAGGCCTTTGACTCTATAGGTTGGTCACCCTCAACTTGCGGCAGCTTTTAGGCGAGAGTTCCTCCACTCCTTGAGGCCATCATGGCTCTCCTTGTTTTCTTGACAGAATCCGTCAAGGTTGCCCACTCAGTCCCTATCCCTATCTTCCTTTCTGTCCGTAAACGGCCGATCTCCATTCTTTCTTCAATGAAATATTTTCTTGCACTCCTTGGAACTCATATACCCATCCACTTACAGATGTTGAATACGCCGATGACACAACCTCTCATCACTCATTGGCACCGTACCAATGAAACTCTTTCCTGAATTCTTCACCTCCTTCAGCACCTTGCTGCTGCTCTCTCCCTGCTTCTCCATGTCGATGCTGACTCCACATGCAACTGCCCGCGCTCCTCCAATCCACTCCAGATGCCACTTTCCTCGATACTCCATTTGCTCCTCTCACGTGCAAAATACTTTGGCTCTTACATCACTCCTTCATCGTCAACTCCTGACGTCAACTTCCGATGTTCCCAGGCTTCCTCTGCCTTAGAGTCCCTTAACCCACTCTTCCGCCATCCCCTTATTTCCCAACGGTATATACTCAGACTGTCCAAGCCATTCTTCTGGCTCTGGATCCCAGGTCTACTCTCCAGCTCAAATCGCCAAAATTGATAGTATCCACATGTCTCCACATGTCTGGCACTTTCTATCACTCTTCCATATTCAAAGCCCCTATCATTGTGTCAGTACACCATCCAACTCCCCTTGCTGAATATCTCCTCTCCCTCTCTCTCTCTCTTACTCCGTCCTTCCTTCTTGTATTCTCCATGCCTATGTCCGACTCCCGAATCAAGTGCCTTGGCCACATCCTTCGACATCCTGATAGTCTATCATGTTTCTCCATTTTCCCTACGAAACATCTCCTCTCCCTTAGGCGTGGTGCCCCTTGGGCTCACTGGCCAGAAATCGCTTTAGCAGAAGCCGCACATCGTGTCCAGATTTTCCATCAATCCCCTCCACTATTAGAGCAACTCTTACATTCCTTTTACCAACATTTCACCATTGTAGAGCTCAAACACGTTGCCTCCTCCAGCATGAAACAATGGTCAGAGAGCAATGGTTACTTCTTACCCTCAAAGAGATATAAGCAACCAGCTTAGGGTTCACTGCTGCGAACATGTGGTTCACCTGAACTTTATATTGCTTGTGGAAAACATGTATCATTATATGATTGTATATGATATCACACACATACACATATATGTATATACAAATGTACACATAATACATATGTATTTATTGCGGGTCCCTCTTTGCAACTCCCCAATCAACATACACATTTGATTTTACCACAAACTTTGTAAACTTTCTTATTTGCGTTGCAGGAGTGTTGGCAGATCATTCTTACATGGACCGGAATCAATACCGGAATGAAGGACACTTTTTTTTTTGTTGTCCTACCCTGTCAGAACCACTGCAGGCCGAAGCTTCTGGAAAGTGAAAGGAAAGGCTGGATGCACTGTGGGTTGCTATATGCAATTTTCAGAGGACTCTTCGATGAAGCACACATGCCACATATTCTCACAGAAACGGCTCTCAGTCTCAGTGTTTTTTTTCTGTTTCACTTCATCCCCTTTGAGTCAGTAGCAAAAGTCAACAAAGCAATTGAGCAGAGACAGGCAACTCTTGCATCCTATTGCATCCTATTGCATGATTGTCACCAATGTCACCTGGATTTCATGGGACGAAGACAAGAGTAGCGAAGACAAGAGTAGCGAAGACAAGGGTAGCGTTTTCACTAGCGAAGACATACGAAAAATACTCAGAATACTGGCCTCTTAGCACCTGGAACTGACCAGAGGCCTTTGGATCATCTTTGCCGTCCACCCGCAGAATGAACATCCGGAGCTTTGCATAACACGTGCAAGGTGTGATTGGTCAAAAAACGACACGTGGGCCAATGCCAAGTCTCTTCATATAATCCGTCATGTCACGCCAGACTGCTGACTTCAGTTGGATCACAAGCTTCCTCACTCATCTGCCCTTTTCTTGATGGCTCAAACACATCAAGTTGTAGCAAAACAAAGAGGAAAGACCGCATCAGTCATTTCTGCCAAAAGTCAGAGCTTTTAACATTTCCAACTTTTGCGTTTCAGAGGTCACACCTCGGGTGCTCTTTGCCGCCATGGCAGCTCGCAATCCGGGTCCGTTTCTACAACAGTGGCTGAGCTAAAGGGTTAAAACTGTGAACAGGCAGAAGGTGATCAAATAGTGAAGAACGTCTAGAACGTTTTGCCTAATTTAGATGTCTTTGATGTGATAGAGCTCTTGATGCTGTGTAGACCTTTCTCAGGACACCAGTTGGCTTTCCATCCTACTGCCGCCACATCACCAGGTGCTGCCAGCATGTTTTTATTTCAGCGATGCGTTCTAACAAAGACCAGTTTTTGTTCCTGCTAGGGACTGGATGTCAAGAAAAGCTTTCGAGAAAAGCGAGGTCAACGGTCGTGTGTACAAGGCGAGTTCGATCCGACAGTGTCATATAGTATATGAATGTACAATGATGTTGATGGAGTACGATATGATTGGTGTTGATTACGCCCATCGATTATTGTCCAGCATCATCCAAGTTTGCTTGAGCGCCAGAGCAGCCAGAACTCTGAGTCTTTCTGAGTGGTTTTGGACTTGGTCTTCTTTGCATGTCATGCACTTCGCTCATTTGACAGAGTCTTGTTTTGCTTGGCAGGCAATTTACGAGAACATGGGAGTGAGAGGAAGCATTCCTGTCAATAAGTGCCGAAGATGCTACAAACAGAACAAAGTATGCAAGCAAATTATGCAACAAGTATGCACATTATTTACTTCGAGTGATCCCCACCAAATCATTCTATCTGACATATATCCTGACATTCTATCTGGCATTCTGGCATATATTCTGACATTTTTTCTGGCAAAACTTTCTGGCAGGGAAGAGGAGGAGAGGACAACTCTGAGGAAATCTAGAGACCTTCGGTCTCTAGATTTCCTCAGGTCTCTAGATTTCCTCAGAGTTGTCCTCTCCTCCTCTTCCTCCTGGCATTCTATCTGGCAAATCTTCTGACATTCTTTCTGGAATTCTATCTGGTATATCTTTGGAGATTCTTTGTGGTTGAGGTCCGGCGGGGAACACTGCGATCTAGCGCTTGCAGTCGAGGTCCGGCAACGAGGAGAAGGAGAAGGAGAAGGAGGAGGCAAGCTGACTTAAAATCTAACAACCCTCAGCTGACAGGTGGGGAACAACGTCAAAGAACGTTTTACTTCAGCTGCTTTAGCCTGTGTTGGTTTGCTACGAAGTCGCTGCGAAGTCTTGGGCCTTTGTGCACCTTTGGGCCTGGGCTGCACCCAGGTACGTTGGCCGAAATCGCATTCATTTGCGTGGAATCACTGAAGGATTTGCCAGGGGAAATAAGAGGCCGGAGATTTCCATACGCATGACACGCATGACACGTATGACACGTATGACACGTATGACACGTATGACACGCAGTCCGACACAAGAATCACTTCATGGTTCAAGATAAGTTGAATATATAGTTGAAATTTGTGAAGAAGTGGTTTTGGCAGCGTGTTTCACTTACACGGAGGTGGACGCACATGAACAAGCATGGCTTCATGATGACCTATCGAGAAGGATGGCTTATCAAGTGCCCCAGATGTGATGCCATCCGAGTTTCCGCAGGTTTGCACTGCTTTGCATCAGGTATAAAACGGAGACAAAATCGAATACACAAACAGATTATATAAACTATAAACACATTAAACTTTTGAGGTATGGCTATGATCCAGATCGTTATCACTGAGTCAGAGCTTTGAAGACCTCTGACAGTGTCACACATGCAACCATGCCAAATTGACCAATGTGAAGTTTCAATAAGTTTAGTAGAACCATGTAGAACCTAGAAAAAGTAGAAGAGGGCTTTATTTTTGTCGCTGTGGTTGCTGGGGAGAGTGATGTCACGCTAAACCAGCGTGCCTGTTGCCATCTCCCAACTGACCAGTGGGCTCAAAATTTGCGTAGAGAAAAGGTTGTTCAAGCTGCTTGGGCTGGGAATGAGTTACAATGAGTTGCTAAGTCTTACGCAAGGAATGAAGGACATGAGAAAACTCGCCGCTTCATTTGTGTGCTAGTCTTGAGTTGAAGCCACTGAAGCATGTTTTCCTGCATAATGTTGTCGCTGATTTGCTTCCAACTGCCTCATTGGCTGGCAGCTTGCCAGACTTTTTGCACTGTTGGTTTGTGAGAGCCTGACTGATGGTTCTTTGGCAGTTTTCACAGCTCTGAACCAACGATGAAACCGCTCTGAACAACGCAGCAAATGATGTCACCGTTCCAATGGTTCTGCAACGACAGCCTGCTACCAGATGCTCCACAAACTGATCGGTAGCAAAAACTAACACCTGACCCGCAACTCCAATTTCTTTCTACACCGGTCTACACCAACGTCACGTCCTTGCACACTTGCAAAGCTGACACATAGAAGGGACCTGCGCTGGCATAGTCAAAGGTTCCAGCAGCATCCACGGTTGGAGACACAGCTTAGAGTTGTCCTTGGTTGAAGTTTGCAAACGTTGTGACATGTGAAGTGTGTGCGTCCAGTTACTGACACACCTCAAACCGCCTCAAACCTCAACTCGTCAGATGCTTTAAGCTTTTGCCCCAATTTTTCAGTGTTTTGATCCACCTCCCAAGGTTGACTGCTTTAGTACCCGAAGCCGCACGTCACACGTTTTTCGGGCACATTTGTCGCCGGCAGCTCAGGCGTGGCACCAAAGGGTCCTGCGTTGCGGGCTGTGCCGTGACCGAAGTCCAGGCGTTCAATCTGACGAACATAGAACAGAAGATCAACGAAGGTCCAAGAAGTTGTGATATATATATATATATACACATCTATCATATTTATTATTATGTATACCTATACATACCTATACATACCTATAAATACCTATACATACCTATAAATAGAATGGGCTAGCGCCCTGGTGCCGCCGACCCCCCCTATTTGGGGGGTCCTGTAGAGAGAGAGAGAGAGAGATAGATAGATAGATAGATAGAAAGATAGATAGATGGATAGGAAGATGGGTCGATAGCTAGATACACAGTTAGATAGACAGGCGAGATACGTGTAGCTGCGAGAGTTGCCTTGGAAAGGCCTGCGGAAGGGTTTGAAGGGTTTGAGGGCGGGCAAGCGGCACACTTGAACGCCCTGACAAACAGATGGCTGGGGCGTGTAGCTGCGAGAGTTGCCTTGGAAAGGCTTGCACAAAGCCTGCGGGAGGGTTTGAAGGGTTTGAGGGGTTTGACGGCGGGCAAACAGAGCTTCAACGCCCTGAAAAACAGATGGCTGGGGCGTGTAGCTGCGAGAGTTGCCTTGGAAAGGCCTGCGGAAGGGTTTGAAGGAAGGGTTTGAAGTGTTTGACGGCGGGCAAACAGAGCTTCAACGCCCTGAAAAACAGATGGCTGGGGCGTGTAGCTGCGAGAGTTGCCTTGGAAAGGCCTGCGGAAGGGTTTGAAGGAAGGGTTTGAAGTGTTTGACGGCGGGCAAACAGAGCTTCAACGCCCTGAAAAACAGATGGCTGGGGCGTGTAGCTGCGAGAGTTGCCTTGGAAAGGCCTGCGGAAGGGTTTGAAGGAAGGGTTTGAAGTGTTTGACGGCGGGCAAACAGAGCTTCAACGCCCTTAAAAACAGATGGCTGGGGCGTGTAGCTGCAAGAGTTGCCTTGGAAAGGCCTGCGAAAGGGTTTGAAGGAAGGGTTTGAAGTGTTTGACGGCGGGCAAACAGAGCTTCAACGCCCTGAAAAACAGATGGCTGGGGCCTGTAGCTGCAAGAGTTGCTGTGGAAAGGCCTGCGAAAGGGTTTGAAGTGTTTGACGGCGGGCAAACAGAGCTTCAACACCGTGAAAAACAGATGGCTGGGGCGTGTAGCTGCGACAGTTGCTTTGGAAAGGCCTGCGGAAGGGTTTGAAGCATTGGCTGGGGTGTGTAGCTGCGAGAGTTGCCTGGAAAGGCCTGCGGGAAGCTGCGAAAGTTGCCTTGGAAAGGCCTGCGGGAGGGTTTGAGGTTTTTGAAGGCGGGCAAACGGCAGTCTTGAACGCCCTTAAAAACAGATGGCTGGGGCGTGTAGCTGCGAGAGCTGCTGTGGAAAGGCTTGCGGGAGGGTTTGAAGGAAGGGTTTGAAGCGTTTGGCGGCGGGCAAACAGAGCTTCAACGCTGTGAAAAACAGATGGCTGGGGCGTGTAGCTGCGACAGTTGCTTTGGAAAGGCCTGCGGAAGGCCTGCGGGAGGGTTTGAAGGGTTTGAAGGGTTTGAAGGGTTTGAAGGGTTTGAAGGGTTTGAGGGCAAGCAAACGGCAGGCTTGAACGCCCTAGCTGCGAGAGTTGCCTTGGAAAGCCTGCGGAAGGGTTTGAAGCATTGGCTGGGCGTGTAGCTGCGAGAGTTGCCTTGGAAAGGTTTGCGGGAAGCTGCGAGAGTTGCCTTGGAAAGGCTTGTTGAAGGGTTTGAAGGAAGGGTTTGAAGCGTTTGGCGACGGGCAAACAGACTTTCAACGCCGTGAAAAACAGATGGCTGGGGCGTCTAGCTGCGACAGTTGCTTTGGAAAGGCCTGCGGAAGGCCTGCGGGAGGGTTTGAAGGGTTTGAAGGGTTTAAGGGCAAGCAAACGGCAGGCTTCAACGCCCTTAAAAACATATGGCTGGGGCAAACGGCAGGCTCATGGCTGGGACGTGTAGCTGCGAGAGTTGCCTTGGAAAGGCCTGCGGAAGGGTTTGAAGCATTGGCTGGGGCGTGTAGCTGCGAGAGTTGCCTTGGAAAGGCATGCGGGAAGGTTTGGTCGTGGGAGCTGCCGCGGCGCGTTTGGGCCTTTGAGGCTTGACAAGCAGTTGTTGCTGGAATGTGAGGGCCATGGCCGTGACAAAGCAGGTTCCACACCTCAGGTGGTCCCAGGCGCCGGCCCTGCCTTGTCCAAGGCAGGAATCGGCGGATACTATAAATACCTATACATACCTATACATACCTATACATACCTATAAGTACGTATACATACCTATACATACCTATAAATACCTGTAAATACCTATACTACCTATACATACCTATACATACCTATACGTACCTATAAATACCTATACATACCTATACATACCTAAAAATACCTATACATACCTAAAAATACATGTACATACCATTAAATACCTGTACAAAAACTATACAAAACTATACATACATATACATACCTAGACATACCTATACATACCTTTACATACCTATACATACCTATACATACCTATACATACCTATAAATACCTATACATACCTATACATACCTTTACATACCTAAAAATACCTATACAGACCTATAAATACCTATACATACCTATACATACCTCAAAATACCTATACATACCTATACATACCCATAAATACTTAAAAATACATATAAATACCTGTACATAACTATACATACCTACAAATACCTGTAAATAACTGTACATACCCATACATATCTTTACATACCTAAAAATACCTATACATACCTTTACATACCTAAAAATACCTATACAGACCTATAAATACCTATACATACCTATACATACCTCAAAATACCTATACATACCTATACATACATATACATACCTGTACATAACTATACATACATACAAATACCTGTAAATAACTGTACATACCCATACATACCTTTACATACCTATAAATACCTATACATACCAAAAAATACCTATACATACCTATACATACCTATACATACCTTCACATACCTATACGTACCTATAAATTCCTATACATACCCATAAATACCTATGCATACCTACACATACCTAAAAATACCTATACATACCTTTAAATGGCTGTACGCCTATACATACCTATACATGCCTATACATACCTATAAATACCCTATACATACCTATACATACCTATACATACCTATAAATACCTATACATACCCCTACATACCTATACATACCTATACATACCTGTACATAACTATACATACATACAAATACATGTAAATAACTATACATACCCATACATACCTTTACATACCTAAAAATACCTATACATACCTTTAAATACCTGTACATACCTATACATACCTATAAATACCTATACATACCTACACATACCTACTCATTCCTATACATACCTTTAAGTACCTATACATACCTATACATACCTTTACATACCTATGAATACCTATACATGCCTTTAAATGCCAATACATACCTATAGATACCCACAAATACCTAGACATACCTATACAGACCTATACATACCTATACATACCTCTACATACCTATTCATACCTATGCATACCTATACTTACCTTAAAATACCTATACATACCTATACACACCTATAAGTACCTATACATACCTATGCATACCTATACATACCTTTAAATACCTATACAAACCTATGCATACCTATAAGTACCTAAACATACCTATACATGCCTGTACATACCTATAAATACCTATAAATACCTATACATACCTTTAAATACCTGTACATACCTTTACATACCTATAAATACCTTTACATACCTATAAATACCTATAAATGCTTATACATACCTATAAATACCTGTACAAAACTATACATACCTACAAATACCTATGTATACCTATGTATTCCTATACTTACGCACCTATGTGCGTACCTGCGTGCGTACGTACGTACGTACCTACCTACATACATGCATAACAAAACATAACATAACACAACATACATAACATAACATCACATGCAAAACACACATATCATAATATAACATACATAGCATAACATACAAAACATAACATACATAACATACATAACATACATTACAGACATTACACACATAACACACAGTACACACATTACACACAGTACACACATTACACACATTACATACATTACACACATTACACACATTACACACACAACACACATTACACACATTACACACACTACACACATTACACACATTCCACACATTCCACACATTACACACATTGCACACATTACACACATTGCACACATTACACACATTACATACATTACATACATTACATACATTACATACATTGCAGACATTACACACATTACACACATTGCACACATTACACACATTACATACATTACATACATTACATACATTACATACATTGCAGACATTACACACATTACACACATTACACACACTACACACATTACACACATTCCACACATTCCACACATTACACACATTGCACACATTACACACATTACACACATTACACACATTACATACATTACAGACATTACACACGTTACACACATTACACACATTACACACATTACACACATTACACACATAACACACAGTACACACATTACACACAGTACACGCATTACACACATTACATACATTACACACATTACACACATTACACACACTACACACATTACACACATTACACACACTACACACATTACACACATTCCACACATTACACACATTACACACATTGCACACATTACACACATTGCACACATTACACACATTACATACATTACATACTTTACATGCAGTGCATACATGATATACATGATATACATGACATGCATGACAAACATGACATACGTGACATACATGACATACATGACATATATTAGATACGTACGTACCTACGTACGCACGTACAGACATACAAACATACAGACACAGACATACAGACATACAGACATACAGACACACAGACACACATACACACATAAAGACATACATACATACATACATAAATACATACATACATACGTACGTACGTACGTTACATTACATTGCATTACATTACATTACATTACATACATTACATACATTACATTACATACATTACATACATGACATACATGACATACATTACATACATCACATACATTACACACATTACATACATTACATTACATACATTACATACATTACATACATTACAAACATTACATACATTACATACATTACAAACATTACATACATTAATACATACATTCATTCATTCATTCATTCATTCATACATACATCCATACATACATACATACATACATACATTTTTCATTTTCGTGTGTTGATTTACTGTGTGGTTCTCCAGAATTACTTGCGTGCTCTGAGACAGGTGGCATCTTCTTGAAGCCTTCCTGCTGGAGATTCCAAAGCAGTCAGCGCAATCGAAACGCTCCAAACTTTCTACATCAGTCTTAACCTCTGCTTCTTTCTTTGTGCTCTTGATACTCAAATCTTCGAGATAACGAAAAACTTTACATTTTCAGGAGATTTAAGCATGCTTTGAAGCGCTCAGGATTCGACGAATGGCAAAGGAGAACACCTTTGAGGCGCTAACCGTGTGAGTATATAGACGTTACACTGCTCCCTCTCTCTGCATATTCATCACTGTGTTCCTAAACCAAAGAACTTACTTCTGGTTGCTTCTTGGAATTGCAGAAAAATGTATATTTTATGATTGCAGGAACCGAAAAATGCAGCCCTGTCCATACCTGTCGGTGTTCTTTTAGGCAATAGGAATCCAGGGTCACGTGCAGGTCACACAGGAGAAACCGCACTTTCCAACTCTTGAGGAAAGTACTTTGCAGTGCCCTGGTTGCCAGTATTGCGACGTTCATTCAATACAGCCAGCTCAACCTTGTGCTCACGTTGTAGCTTGATGGACATTTCCTGATCATGATCCCGTTGCTTAAGTTCCCTCTAGTTGGTGTTTGGTCTTGACACAGCAGTAATGTGTGTCGTCGGCAGGTACTGGCGAGACATTGATGCCTTCCAGGAGTCTTTGAGACAATCAAAGGGCAAGCACTGTGCTCAGTGGGTACGAGAGGATTCCATACAGTAAGACTCGCAAAATCCTTTGTATTTTTTGGAAGTCTTTGGTGCCTGCATCATATTCTGTATCTTCAAAGTGGACATGCCTTGCAAGGCCAAGCTGACAGCCCTTTATTTTTGCTCTTTTCGTCCAGGCCTGCATACAACTTCTACGATGGTCCGCCCTTTGCCACCGGCCTGCCGCACTATGGACACATCCTTGCTGGCACAATCAAGGCTGGGGAAGAGAGTACTTTCGCCACTGCAACTTCACAAGTAAACCACTAGTAAACACTTCACTAGTAAACGTGAGTCGTACAGCATTCCGTGGGAAAATATTACCGCATCTATGGCCACAGAGTCGTACAAGATTCCTCGCCTTGGTGAATGGATATTCGGATCCTTGCCACGACTTGATGATCGTCTGCAAGTCAGCAAAATTTCTTCGAAACTGGCCTGGTAAGCCTGGTAAGCCTCCAAGTTTTGGATTCTGTTGAGGAGTTTGACTCAGACCGTCAGACCGAATCACGCCTCAATTTTCATCAGGGGCGGCAAGGGTATGGTGGTCAAGTCAGATTTGGTTCTCAACTTTTGAGAATGCGCCAGTAATCTCTTCACACAGATGAGTGGAAAGCCGATGAAAGCCGATACGGTCCGGCACTGATTCTGAAGGACGTGGTGACGAGATACGCTCATCAGCGAGGCTACCACGTTGAGAGAAGGCCTGTGCTTCGTTGGCAGCAACATGGTAGAGATTTGACCCGGACTACCACTTTCTAGGTTTGTCTGAAAATAGAGCATACCCAATATACTGCTATTTGAATGAAAAAATATCATTAACCAGTAACTATCAAATTTTGGGGTATCCTATTTGCAGACAAACCCTTCTGACTGACGCAGCGTTTGCTCAAGCACATCTTCCACCCTGCCAATCATTGGCAAACTTCTGAAGAAGTGCAATGTGTTCAATCCAGTTTGAAACTGAACCAGGGAGTGGAGAAAGAGAGAGAGAGAGAGACAGAGAGAGACAGAGAGAACTTTCTTTGGGGATTGGGCTCTTTGATGCGAGCATTTCTATTATTTCTGATCATTTGTCAATTCAGTATATTCTGGCCTGAAGTTGAAGCGCCTTGTCCTATGATCCCAATCTTTGCTCATGGCGCTGGAGCTTATTCCGCTCAAAAACGTTGAACAGAAGCTTGGCCTTGCGAAGCGCTTCAATTTTGCCAAGTTTGCCAAGTTTGTTTCACCTGAGGGACTTTTCAGTCACTGGTCCGAAAGCTGGACAACTGGTCAGCACTACGCATATTGACTGCGAGTTGGTGATACCCGCCCGAGTCTCAGTCCAAGGTTTGGAAGAAACACATCGAAGCACAGTTCGACGGCATTACGTCCATCATGTAAACTTCATATTTTTTCCCATGGATAGTATGATATTATCATTGACACCCCTCATACTCCAAGCATGCAAACAGTTTTCTATCAAGTTCTCCACGAATCGGGGAGCTGGAGCAAGAAATCTTTGCAACGCAGCGAAAACAAGCAGCAGTGGAACACGCTTACATAACTTGTATATCATGTAATCACGCACAGAGTTAGATGATATATAATGATATATATATACACATGAATTGACATGGACATTTGATATGATCATTTCAGGATTGTATAGATACACACACACACATATATATATATATACATACATCATATACATCATATACATCATATACATAATATTCATCATACGCATACATCCGAATAGATGTAGAAGTTGTTTTTGAATAGTGGCCTTAGTGGTAGCGGCTGCGCAGGCCACGCAGGAGGTCTTCACCCTGCCCTTGCAAGTTTGCACGAAGGTTGAGGCCAACGCGGAGCGAAACGCCGTGCGAAACGCCGCGCGCCATGCGAAGTTCTTCGTTCTGAAACTGCCAGGACTTGAACAATGCACTGTTTGACACCTGGTCTTGGCTTCGATCCTGTTGATCCTGCTGTTGATCTTGCTGAAACGGCACATGCGGATACCAGATCTGTTTTTACAGAGTTGAAGATAGTGGAAGACCAGTGGAAGATAGTTCCAAAATGTTCCAAGGTCTGCAAAGCTGGGGTATATCCAGCAAGATGAAATCGTCTTTGTCGTGAAGCAAGGCTGCACTTACAGGCGCTTGCAAAACTCTGACCAGGCCAGGGCTGACACGGCTGACACGGATACAACATGATACAACACAGGAGCCACATCCTGGACGGGTCTTGACCATCTTTGAGTCATGATAGTAACATATAGTATCATACTGGTCATGATAGTGGATGATAATTTATCATAATATAAGATAGTAGGCATAGTAGGCTGATAATGGCAACGATCATGGAATGATTGTTCGAGTGACTGTTGATGGGTGGATTGGCTGACCCATTCACGAATTTAACCCGTTGAGTGGGTTATGGATTGATTGAAGAGTGATGTGCGAAATTAAGGATTCAGTGATTGAGTGATTCAGTCATTCATTGATTGAGTGAGTGGCTCGTACATTGAGTGCCTGGATGATCGAGTAAATCCCTGTTTGAATGAGTCAGAGATCGAGTGAGTGTACTACAAACATCTGAGATGTGCAAAACAGCCTAGCACCTGCTGCAAACGCATTGCAACCTACAAAAAAGTACCATGACACATCGCAGCGTACAATGAGAGTATGCTACAGAGTGCCACGGCCCTGCATACTTTCAAAGCCATCTAGCCCGATCTGTTCGTCAAAAGGTCTAATCCGAGTCTAATCCTCTTGTAAAGCTTCGGTCTTTTGAGTCTTTTGCAGCATGGTTCCAGAACCTTGGTGTGGGCGCCTCTAGGACCGCACGCGCGCGTGCGCGCGTGTTGCATTGTTCTTAATATCAGTGTGGTGGAGTTTTGCACCAGATTTCGGGGGTGGGGTGGGTTTCAGGGTGGAGTTGAGAATGCTACCTACGCTCTATAAACTCTAAGATCTTTTCAACTTTTTCACATAATTGATGCTACACTCTAAAGACTCTAAGATCTTTTGTTCGACTTTCCAATATAAACGATGCTACGCTCCAGTGAAAACTCTGTGAAGAGATTCGCTGACCCCCCCAAAAAAGGTCCGGAAGAGGAGACATAGGCAAAATCACTGACCCTCGCAGTGTTTTGACCACAACAGTTCTATTTTTGCACCGTTTTGCAGAAACATCTGTTGGCATGAAACACAGACAAAATGTCGTCAAATACACACGAAGGTTGCAAATTTCAAGAAAACAAATCAATGGTTGCTGATTTCATAAGTCACAACAGTCCAGCGCTCCTACGGGTGACGTGACCATGTTCTTGGCATTGTGCATGTGCAACTACGAGTATATCCCCACGGCCAGTAGAAAAACAACAAGATAGCGCGCTGCTAGTCTTTCCATATCCTGATGAGTGACAGACTCGATTTGAACTGAAACAGACCGAGACGACAGTTTCGTAAGTTGAGCAAGTCATTTGGCTATGGGTCAATATGGGTCAATAGCCACACAGTCTTTAGATTTCTAGATTCTAGATTGACCGAGTCTCTACCTGTTTCTGTTTTGTGGAGGTGAGGAAAAGGATGTCCGTGCACGGGATCAAATCGTTTAAGCCGCCCCGGCATCAATATCCGCATCCGTACGCTATCATTGGGGCCAGTGTCTCAGATAAGCTGTGTGACCGCTGTGTGACCCGATTTCGATTCGTCAGCTCCTCAGCTGGTTCGCCGCCAAGGCTGGTTACAACGGGATCAAGACTGCTCTGTATTTGTTGAGGGCCAGCAATCGGGCAATGTATGTGAGATATGTATGTGAAACCGTCATGCTTGTAGGCACTATGATTATATGCAGATGAATGAAATCTTGCCATCTTCATTTGCAGTCTCTCAAATCCTAGAAAACTTTGTGCACACAGGATGGCCAGAATGACTTCACTATCTTTGATCGCTATGATAAGGCGATGAGCTGTTATTGTTTGGCAGCTTTGGGTGCCTTTCCATGTTGCAGCAAAGTATGCTCAGCAAGTGTCCGAAAGTGGGTAGCAAACCGCATGGGCACAGTGAAGTATGGGTTTCACTGGAGGGATTGAAGCCTTGGGGACCAGCTGCTGAAGATCCTGTGTTTGAAATGTGCCATGGTCATTCAAGACATCGGTTATTTTCCCAGAAGGGAACAGGGATGGTCATCCTACCATTAATAGAGAATAACATACCCATAATATGAATGACCTACGATGGGATGACAATACCCCATACACAGTTTATTCACCATGGCAATACGAAGATTCTCATGGGTGACCGTACGCATTCGCGACCTCTCACAGGTCGGTGGTCATGCATGGCTGGAAAGTGCAAACAAGACCACCAGGCAGGAGAAACTCTGTGCTTCCGCATCTCAGAATCTCAGGATTTCAATCTCGCCTAGGCTTCAGACGGAATTTGCGACCTACCATGTCTGGTTTGGTCAGGACCGCCTCAGATGGCCCATACTGTACACTGTACAGCTTTGCCAGAGAACCACAGCTACATTTCTCAAAGACAGATTAATCAAATTGAGGGGAAGACAACATGCAGTCAGCCCCTCTTTCCTTGCTGCTCGTTAGACGCGTTGAGTCCGTTGAGTATGAAAGTTTCTACCAGGAGTGGTCCTCGTTGGGCTGCACAAAGTGCGGGGGTCCTCCAGTGGTTCCTCAGTTCAAGAAGTTGTTTCCAGTGGGTCCTGAGCCTCTCCATGTAGCTTTAGGATGCTTTAGGGATTTCTGGATGTATATCATTGCACGCACTTGTATGAAGGATGTAGATATAATTGTAAGATATTGTAAGTATATAAGTATGCAATAAGTATACATACGTACGCATACATCAATCACAGATACATTTCCTCAATATCTCAATAACTTCACTGGCGTCAAATCGCCTTTCCTCTTGTCGCTCCGAGGATTGGGAACCTTGGCCTTGCAGAGATCGCGTGGTCGAACACTTCGAGCTGTGTGCTCGGGACTGGCGCATCCCGAATTCGCTGAGCGTCGATCTTGAGCTGACCATGCTAAGCTCAATCTGTTCAAAGCATTTCAAGCTGTGTTTATCCGAATTCGCAACTCTGTGCTATTTGATTGTGATTTCCCGAAAGGGTTATATTTTGTAATGTTCTCTTTCAGACAGCAAATGGCTTGATTGCGGCTGCGACGCGAAGGAGTATGGTATTTATGCACATTGTCAACTCAGCGTGGACGTGGAGCGGGTATGCGACATGCACGCGACATGATAGGTTGCAATTCCCAAGGAAAATCCGATGGAATAATTGCATCTCATTGCACACGCACCGATTTTTTTTCAGAACAATAATATGAATATATATATATATATGTATACATACATATATTATTTATACGTAACAAAACAAGTACTTGGAATACTTGTCTTCCAGCTTGACCAAAGTAAAACGTTTCAATGTCTGAATGCCAGTCAATTGTGCTATGAAGGAGAAATATAGGTTCGCTAATTATGTTTCTTTTCAGCTTTGCGGATGTGATATTGCGCACAAACTTGTGATGCAAGTGACATTTCACTCTTTGAAGCCTTCTGGTGTGTTTTCTTTTCGATATATGCCTAGGCTGTGTGCTGCAGTAGGTAAAGCTATGTTTCACTTACAGTTGGCACCGACTCATCAAAAGAAATTGGAACCATTAATGACTATTAAATCTTGGATCTGATGTGAGCTCGTTTCAGCCCTTCAATACTTATATTGTACTTTTTGGGGGATTCAGGAGTCTGCAGATCTGGTTGGCAGAGAGAAGAAAGATGATCGATATTATCAACTGAGTTGCCGGCCAGTAACTTGACCGCGCCGAAGTCTACGAAGTCTTCGAAGTCTGCCTTAACTCTTTGTCTCGACCTGTCGACACATTGCATCACATTGCCTCACATTGACACGTGGCTGAGGTATTGCCACATCGCAAGGAGTGCAGAGCCAGAGCTGTCGACAATTTTGGTCGCCCTTTGGTCGCCAGGTCCCAGGTCGCCCCGGGAGGTCGCCCCGGTCGCCCCGGTGTCGATCCAGGACACGCAAGGAGGCGAGAAGTTGGAGCATCACAAGAACGCCACGGAAGCTGGGTCTCTTGGCTCTTGGCTCTAGGGGCTCTTGGCTCTAGCGAGCGCTTAAAGCCCAGCTCAGTGAACCAACTCTTCGGTGACTGGTCTAATCTCTGTGGACATTTGTGGACCTTGTGAGACTCTGAGATATGCGGGTGCCTTCAAGCCTGACTCGAAGCGGAAACCCTTTGTTTTCACCTGCTCCTGCTTCTGCATTTGGCCTGGGAACTTGATCAATCCGCGGCAAGTTGAATACGTTGGAGAGGCCAGCTCCTGCGAAATTCACATTGCTTGAAAAGGCTTTGGCAAATATGACATAATATGACTAATATCATAACTAATATCATCTACTATCGCCATCATCCGGTGAACATGCACCCTGGAGAAGACCGTCTGCAAGACTGCAGGATCTATTCAATGGATTCATCGAATATGGTGTGGAGATGAGATGCGACTACCAAAATGTGGTTGCGAAAAATGTCATCATCCATGGGCATGGTGCCTTTACCATGGAGATACCTGGCAGAAAAGCCGGAATGTTGGGTGCCCTATATCATCATCTCATCATCTCATCCTAGAGGTCATCCTATATCCGGAGACTCCACCAAAAATTGAAGCAAGTTCTGACCAGTGCTGACTAATGTTTTGCTCAGATATTCTCATTGTATCTCATTGTGTTTTGGATCCTACTTGCGCGAAGTTTGTGAAAAGAGTAGGAACGCTGCAAATTTCAATAGTCCAGCGTCAGGTAGCAAAATGGAAAAAGTGTTATGCAGTTCTGCCTGGGTGATGGCTCTCCATCACTGAAGATGTTTGACTCTTTTGACTCTTTGTTTTGGGAATCGAGCAGATTCTCTTGCTCACAGGCTCACAGGCATGCTGGGAATGTTGGGTCTCAGCAACAGACATGTTTATTGCTGCATTTTCCGTCGATTTTGAGCGTGTTTCGCACGGGTCGTACAGTTCTACTGACCCTGAGGAACATTCGCACTTGCTGCGAGTATGGTGCGAAGCACATCTGGGTAGTATGCCGCAAGCGAAATTTGACATGCCCCAGAGTGGTCTCATGGTTTATCAACCAGGCCAGGATCCTGCTTCACCTGCTTCTGCTTCGTGATTTGTTTTCTCTCCCGGAAAAATCATGGTATAACTTCTGCCAACTTGTCCAACTTGTCATGGTATAATTAATTGGTATCCTCTCAGGAAGCCGCTATGCAGTGAATCGATTTCCAACTCCCTGTTTCTAGAGGCCAGTCCAGCAATTACGGCAGCGCACTGCTTGAATCTTCTACAAGTGGCGTACAAGCTTTGAATCTCGCTGGAACAATATTTATTACATTTTATTACATTGGTTGTTTCATTTGCAAATTTGCAAAGCCTTGGCACTACAAGCCTCTGCTTAAACACGGATGAAACACATTCAGCTAAGGTGATTATGATCCATGGGATATGCATTCCGTCAGTTGCAATGCCTCACGGACAAATGCTTCTGTAGCTCAGAGAACACGTTTTGGCATCGGTGACATCTACTTCCTTTCTGCGGCATATGGATTGATGGAGGTCGTTGTGGACAACATCAAGAGGTGCAGTGCCAAGACCGTCCATTTGGAAAGCGGAAGAAAGTTGGAAGATGTGGACGTGATCTTGAAATGTGTTGGCATGTTGCCAGACTCCACAGTCGACAAAGTGGTGAAGGCCAAGTTCATGCGAGGCTATTGGATCAATGGCGATCCACGTCGCTTCAGTTGTGCTGATCCTGATGGGATTTATGCCTCGAACTTTTCCGGGACCACCATTGGCCCAGGAGACATGCGATAACATGTAGCAAAAAACAAAGGCAAAAGAAGACTTCATCAGAGTTGCATACTTGAAATATGCTGGAATCACTTAACATTTTTCTTGCGTCTTTCTTCAGCCGCCGCATTGACTTTTTGATGGTCTTAATACTGGTACGTTTTGATGTTGCATCCACATGTATCATGTATCACATCAACTCAATTCTACAGATTCTAAACATACATATACAGTATATATATATATATGTAATATATATATATATATTTGATGCTTTGTCTCCCTTTGTTTGGAAGGAGCTTACAGTTACATTGCGATGATGAAACATGTGTGGGACTGCCCCAACGAATGGATTCAGCTGGATGAAGCTGGTCATCTCAATCTGCCACTGCACTATGCTGGTGATCCAGATCCAGACTCACCGGCATATTTCATCAACGCCAGGTTTCTTTGTCATGAAGAAAAATTAAGACCAGAAGACTCTGTCAAAAGAAATGCATTAAGAATCACGAATAGACATGTGTGCATCTTGGATGTTGGAAATGACTAAATGGATTCCGAAGTCTTCTGTAGGGAAGTTCTGGAAAGCCTTTTGGAATAGCAATGTGATTGCCAGGCAAAAGTGATACAGGTACCATTGTTCTCCACTCTAAGTTCAGTTCAATGTTGTCACATTGTTTCTTCATGTTTCTTCAGCTTGCTCGACATTGCTCGACATTGCTCGACATTGCTCGACTGTAGGCATTCGGTTGGTACATCATTCGCTTATGCCATTCTGAGCCCCGCCTGGCGCGATAAATCCGCTCACATGGATCCGTCTCCAAGTTGCACCGGTCATCCCGGTCATCCAGGTTTCAATTGATTCTATGATTATACGATTTCATTTGATGTCATTTGTATCATTTGATATCTGTCATCTGTCAGTTGTTTCTGATTTTGATGTTGGTAAAAAAAGCACTTCTGTTTCGCGCAGCAAGGTACAAACATTGGGTGGCCGCAGCCTTGGAGACGGAGAGACCGGGCTCTGATTTGATCTACAGATTTTCGACGGCGACCGCTGCCCAGGCACATTATTGTTGCCCTGTGGAGAAGCTTCTTGAAGCAGCGCTAGCAGAGTGGGATGACTACGAGAAAAGTTTCAGGTTCGGACAAAATGTGTCGAAATGCGTCGAAATGTGTTGAAATGTGTCTATGGATGTTAGGTTTTGGAAGCATATCGTGGCAAGGGATGATGTGGTGGATGGTTGTCAAGATGCTTCCCTATGTTTTTGGCGCGTGCAGGGAAAAAGGCATGGTGCCTAAAGATGCTCCCTACATTCCGCTCCTCGGCGCAAAGTGAGGTTTTGATCAACCCTTTACAGTTGCCTCAGCGACGAGGTATCCATACACCAAACAATACATTGAAGAACAGTACGAGGCTGGAAAGATGCAACTGTGCTGCCTTGATGCACTCGAAACACCTTGAAACAACATGTTCCATCATATGCAGGGTCTTTGCCTTGCAACTGTTAAGGTGCACAAGAAGGATACATCCCAAGTCGCGAAGTGATGCGACCGGATTTCCCGCACAGAAACTTGATGGATTGTGTCTTCCTGTCGGCCACTGTTTGATGGCGACGGCCGTGACGTCCATGACGTCCATGACGTCCATGACGTCCATGATGGCCATGATGGCCATGATGGAGAAGGTCTCTGTTGATCCAAAGATGTCGGCAGATGCCAAAAAGGACCGAAGCTTTGCCGTCAGAACTTCTCGTGAGCCCTGCCGGCCCTGCCGTGGATCTTCACAAGCCTTCCAGTCTTGGCAGGTTTGGTTGGGATTGTCATGGGCTTCCTGTGGAGTACGAGATCGATAAGAAGCTGAACATCAAGGCAGGGAAAAGGTGACACAGGGAAGAAGATCCAAATCTTTAAAAATTGGAAGTGAGGCAACATGAAAGTAGTGGTAAAGACGGGTAACGTGGCAAATCATTGCCGTGCTTGAAACACTTTAAGGATGTTTAAAGGTGATGAGTTGATGAATACTTGAGAAGCTGTCAGCGCTTTGAATGGCATCAGCGTCAGGGTCACCACGATGTGATGAAGATTGGCATCGACAAGTACAACGAGGAATGCCGAGGAATTGTTTCATCCTGAGCCCTGAGCATTTGTAGCACCCTGACATTTGTGACACGTTTCAACTCTTTGCCTCTTTGCTGCATTGTGTGAATTTGTCCATGGTGTACTTTATGAATCTTTATGATACTTCATGTCATGTATTTCATGTTCTTGCTCTAGGTCCAAAGATTTACCACAGAATGGAGGCGAATCATTGAACGAGTCGGGTCAGCACCTGAGGGCTGGTTTGGCTGAAAGATGACATAGCCATAGCCCGGTAGAATGCGGTCGGCAAAAACGGAAGCACTTGGTGTTTTGTGGCATTCTCTATTTTGTGTTCCAAACCAGCAAACTTGCCACAAAACAGAGTGGACCTGTTGCACAAGGCGGTGGATTGATTTTGACAACGACTACAAGACCATGGACAGAAGCTTTATGGAGAGGTGCCCTACATGTCAATGCCAATATCAGACAGTTGTCTTTGCACTTTTTTCTGTCTAAATTTCAATCATCTCGTCATCGGTCTTTGTATTTTTTCGGCAACTTTCAGTCTTGCTTTCTTCATGTCTCACGCGATGCCGTCAGCTGCTGGTGGGTCTTCAAGCAGCTCTTTGAGAAGGGGCTCGTCTACAGGACTTCTTCATATATATATATCACGTATTGTGTAGCTGTGCGGTGTTGGTACATGTCATTTTGAGTGACGTCAACCTGCAACTAGTACAACCATGTTTACTGTAACTGGCTGGTGTGTGAGGGCCTTTCGCGTGATGCCCTACAGCACCGCCTGCACGACCCCGTTGTCCAATTTTGAGGCCTGAAGTTGTCATTGTTCCTTTTGTTCATTCTTGCCAATCAAATTGGCGTCATGATCAACGCCAGGGCAAAGTTTCCTTCGCAAAGCTTTCTGCTTGCACAGGTGTCGCAAAACTACAAAGAGGTCTCCGATCCCTCCATCATTGTTCAGTTCAAGTGTGGTCCTTAAAAGATGAAAAAACATGAGCAAACTTGAAGTTGTCGCTTCGTCTCATGTGCAAAGCTTCATTTGCCAGCCATCAAAGGCTCACGGACGAGGACAGTAGTGGGTAGAGCAGAATGCAACACACCAATGTCTCAGGAACAGGAAATGACAGGAAAAGACAAATGCAGAGATGTAGGAACGGGTAGATGCATGTAATACACAGTAATACACGATGTTTCTTTGTTTCTTGTAAGTAAAAACAGAACCTGCTGCACTGCTGCACATGCTTCTCGAATCTTCTCGAAGTGCCCAGGAGAATTCGTACGTGCTCGCGTGGACGACGACACCATGGACACTGCCCTCAAACTTGGCTTTGTGTGTGAACCCCGAATTGACGTGCGCCCTTGTAAAAAGAGTGTATCACGGCAGTGCTGCAGTGCCAGAACACATCTCAATGGTTGCATTTCATGGCTTATTCCATGGCAGGTATTTGCAGGTGCAGAACAAGACCACCAACACCAAGTGGATCGTTGGAAAGGAGAAGCAACTAAGTGAAGACAATCAGAATGGCACATTAGCTTGGTGGTCAGCCATTAGGACAGATGGCCGTGGATCTGTTCATCCGTCAAAAAGAACGCTGAGAAAGTGCGAGTCACAGCAGTGCTCTAGGGATTTTCTCGCTGAGTTCTGTAAAAAGGCTGGATAAAAGGTTTCAACTTGCAGATCTTGCACCTAAGGACTTCACTGTTCTCTGGGAGAAGAAGGCCAGACAAGTCTTGGCTTTAGGATTTTTTGGAATGTCCACAGAATTGGTTTCAGACACGAATCTGTGCAGGGTGCAGAGCTGAAGGGGATCAAGTACGAGCCTCTCTTTGATTTCTTCAAGGGCAAGGCTGGGCAGCCTTCATCGTGAGCAAAGTAGCTTCAGACTGTCCATGGATGCCATTCTGGAATTTGACATCTTCATTGAGGCCCTCAAGGGTGCCTGGCAGATTCTGACCGATGGCTACGTCTCTACTGAGGCCTAGCCAGATGTTGATCGTTGAACCCATTGTGTCTCTGCTGAAATGACACTGAGGCGGGCACATGCATCGTCCACCAAGCTCCAGCTTTCGGAGAGGACGGTGGAGCGTTTGGCACAGACGCGCGTTCTTGCGCTTGTCCAACTGTCGTCATTCGAAAATACCTGATTTGCATTGTGGGGTGTAGGACGACAATCGCGTTTGCCTGACGGCCGGAATCATCCTGAAGGCATGTGAAGCCATGCGGATCTGAAGATGGTAAGAGTGTCGTTGATGCAATGACGCAGTGAACTTTAATTCATTGCATTTGAAATATACATACAATCATGTGTATGTATATATATATATTTAACATAAAGTTTGGAACTCACGAGCCGCTTGGTAACCTTAGTACCAGGATGGAACTGGCATGGTGCACCTGATTGATGACAGCGGTTGCTTCACAAAGGAGGCTCCAGAACAAGAACCGACAACCGGTAAAACGTTGTAAAGCCACCCTGCTGAAATGTGCTGCAAAAGTTGTGTCCCCTTTGGTACAGGTTCCTGACTTCATGGGCCAGCATGTGAAAGCAGCTGACAAGGATATCAAGGTGGCTGCAAACTATTGACAATCCAAAAACCAAAATCATTGTAAATGCAACTGCTTCCACTGCTTTCCCTTGGAGGAAAAGCTGAAGAAAGAAAACAAGTTGGTCTTCAACGGCACTGAGGACTGCACCGGACTGCACCGGACTGCACCGGACTGCACCGGACTGCACCATTGATACCGGGGGAGCAGTCACAGGCTACAGGGTGGTGCCCCCAAGATAGCTAAGTTGGTTTATAACTCCAATAACTATGGTTTATAGGTGTTATATCTATAGTTAATGGGGTTTATAAACCGACTTATAACTGGGGGGCACCACCTTGTAGGTATTGCATGGCACTGCATGGTGCAGCGGAGCCGTCGCAGGTGCACAACTATCCTCACTGCTGGCGCTCGGACACGCCCCTCATCTACAGGGCCCAAGCTCTCAGCGATTTCCAGAATTTCCAAAGGCTTTTGTAGTTCCGGATGATCAGAAAATTATCAGAATGAAAGTCTTTCAGAGCAAAGACCAGTTGCATCAAGTTGCATGAAGTCAGTTGCATTCCATTCGAACGCTTGGTGAGTTCATGATGTTCATGTAACTTGATGCAACGAGTCTTTGTTCTTTCCGAAGTCTTTCGATGAGGCCATTCCCAGCTGGTTCATCAAAGTCGAAGAGGCCCGGGAGAAGCTCATCGCCAACAACAACCAGACGTGTCTCGGCGATATATGAAAAAAGTTGAGCAGAAAATAGGGAATACATGGAAAACTCACATAGAAAACTTAAATTGTGCAGGGAAACGTAGGGAAACTATGCAAGGATGATCAAAAATGAAGTGTATTCATGGCGCGAAGCGAATGTGTAAACATGATTAAGATGAAACGTTTATTCATTGTCTGAAGGAAGTTCAGAAGAGAAACCACTGAGTTGCAGCCAAATGAACAAGAAAACCAAGGGCTTTTCAAGTAGACAAAGCCTCATTTATATCGCATCCAGGAGAATAGCACGCAATGTAAGGTTCTGCGTCACAAATCTTGCTGTGTAAATCTGGGTAAGTTATGAGGTGCATTTTGTTCATTCAGTTCCCGCAAGTTACCGTGTATCGCATATAGAAACACTGGGCACTTTGTGTTCTTCTCTTCTGATAACAAGCTGGCCACCATGCTGGAAGTGGAAGCGCGCAACATGCAATGCAGGCTCTTTTCATGTGATGAGTTTCTTCTAAGCGGACTGGGAAAACTGAACTAGTGTTGTGTGCAGATATTTTCGGACAGCCTGCTTACCCACCTTACCATTTAGAAGAGTTAGATCATTCTGGGACGGGAGTCCGTGGGTGCTGGTCCTGCTGGGAAGAGTCTGCGGGGAACGGGGATGCAGAGTTTCTTCAGGTACAAATTGCACATTTCTCGTTTCGCTCACTCAAAGCCTCATTCACTAATTCACTTGTATTCTTGGCTGACCGGCTTACTCATTCATTCACTCCCTTCTGATTCCTTCATTCACTTAACCAAGTGTCCAATTTGTGAGTCTAGCTCTGAAATCACTGAAAGGGAGTTTGCTTCCAGGCGCCCGAAGTTTCTTTGAAACTTCCGTTTGTTCCGATTTTGCTTCGGCATCCCAGGTATTGGGTCCCAAGCTTTGTGAAGGAGAAGCGCTTCCATAACTGGCTGACAGAGGTGCGGCAAGAGGTTACCGCAGCTACAGCTCGCCATAGGTTACCCTCGTGGAAAAAAAAGAAATTATAAGAATAGATATTATATGATGATATATGATTATATATATTATATATGATGATATATGATTATATATTATATTATATATGATTATATATGATTATATATGATTGTATATGATTTATATGATGTACCTCGAGTAGTGATGCAAACTTTATTTGTGGTATGAACAAAACATGTAGTCGAAGATCAACACATGCTTTTCATTATCTTGCCATCCATGCTGGCATATGTGACTCAAGGGCAAGGGTGGGCGGTGGGTTCCCGTTCTAACTTCCAGTTCGGATTCTTTTTTTGCAGCGTGCTTGTCATGCCAACTCAGCTGTGCTGCAGAGGTGTGGGGTTTTCATCGCAATAAATACATCCATGTATATATAGACATACATATATATATACCCAATTGCTGGGAGCTCTTTGGTGCAATCACGCTGCGAGCCAGTCACACACACACAGATCTCTCTCTCTCTATATATATACATATAATATACAATATACCAGAAAATAAATGAAAACCAGCTGCTCCTTGCTTATCTAACTTCCTTGTGAGTTTTTGTCCACACCTTCCAGGCCAGAGACTGGTGCGTGTCACGAAACCGCTACTGGGGAACGTGTGGGATCTTAGCAAGCCCGTGGGGATCAGCGTTTTGAGCAGCCAATGGACAATCCGTTTGATTTCGAATGCTGCAAGGCCAATCCCCTTGTGGGTCTCTTCAGATTTCGAAGAGGTGCTGAAATTTGGCGGTGTTGACAGAGAAACTGAACAAAGGAAACCAGGAACGAATCAAGACGTGGGCCCGCATGGGGCTGTGCAGCGCTTGACCTTTTTGAACAGACTCCCAGACTCGCAAACTCTATTCTTTTCGTTTCAACTTCTCTGCATGGCAGGTTGTTTGCATCGGCAGTGTGGCCGAGCTGGAAAAATATGCCGGAAGAGAAATCAAGGCCCAAGTCCAAGTATTCATGTCCCTTTTTTAGAATTTGAGTTTTGCGCCATTTCGCGCTCACTGTTTGGAGCTAGTTGAATTCGATCATGTTTGCTCGGGAACCTTCATCGCTTAGTTACTTGTCTTGCAAAGTTGCAACGAGTCTTGCAGCCACGCATTTTTTCAGGATCTTCATCGGCACTTCATTGACGACATCCAGCTGCTTGCTCAGCAAACCTTTAGGGGTGACTCAAACCCTTCAAGAGAGAGGCTGTTGCAAGATTTTGTAAGTGGATGTATTGTACCAAAAGAGTGTGGCTAGTTCATGTCCATTGAGGATCCCATCCCAGAAGGGCAAAGGGATGTTGAAGAGAGTCGATGAGGCAAAGGGCAATGGGCATTTCTCATTTGGTGTGGGACTGTGGGACTGTCTCCCTCTGCTGATGCTCACAGGATCTCACAGGTTCTGTTGCATAAAGCACCACACCATCCACGCCACTGAACGAATGCAGTGGTTGCTTCTGGTTGCTCAAAACAGGTGCCAAATTCAGCTAGGTCATGAAGGCCATGGCGTTTCCTGCGCCTCGAAGAAGTCTCTGTGTTGCTGTCTTAGCTGCTTGTGCTGCTTGGGTATACGGTGATGACCACGGCGATGCCCATGGTCCGTATGGTCATGGCGAACATGGCGGACATGGTGGTGGGCATGGTGGCCACACTGACGGGCCGAGATACAAACCTGAGATGATGGATTTTGCAGGATCCTTTTCCAAAAGCAAATTTGGCAATATTTTAATTTCTGTCAGGTAGATCTTGTCTTATGACATGAAGGCAAAGGGGTGTCCCCGTAGACAGCCTTTCACTTTAAGACTTTAAGGCGCCTTTCTAGCTTGGCTCAGGATACATCAAGGAAATGGACAAGGATGGAGATGGTTTGCTGTCTCTTGAGGAGGCTGTGAGCAGTATAACAGAAATAGAGGGCGTGGCGCATCCGGATGATCCTGAGATCGTTGCGGAGAGAGACAGACACGTGGCGCAGCTCACAGAGAACTTCAAGAAATCTGCTCCTTGACTTTTTGGAGGTGGGATGGGGCGGGGTAGCAGTGCGGAGCAGTGCCAGTGCAGCCCTCCATGGCACTTTGTTCTTCTTTGTTCTTCTTTGTTCTTCCTACGTTTCATACCTCCATGATGTGCCGTGGTCTGCTGTCTGCCATGGTCTGCCCCACAGCTCCATTCCGAGGATCACAATCAGGATGGAAAGCTTACGTTCGAAGAGGCATTGATGTTGCTGAAGCATTCTGGCGGCATTGACGTGCTGTGGGTTGAAAATGAATCCTATCATCGGAAGCAAGAATTGTAAATACTGTAAATAAGTTGAAAATCGATGAACAATGTGCAGCTGAACGTGGTAGTTTCATGTGAACGTGCACGAGATGTGCAGCTGATGGATAGCAGTGAACAGACCAGTCCAAACGTGGCTGGTGAAATGACCACCGAACAGGACAGGTAAAGAAAATGCGTGACTGCTTTGGATATCATTTGCCAAGTGCACAGTGCTGATCACTATGATCACTTGGAACCCAAAGAAGCTGATTGCAGCTACAAAATAGGCAAAAAAGATCAAAAAAGCTTGTCACATCTATCCTACATCCTACATTACAGTATCAAATCAACGCTTTTGAAGTGCTCCGAGCCGGTGCTTGCAAAGGTGTTCGACTGCTGGTTTGAAAGCGGATCCATGCCATACGGCTCCAAGCACTATCCTTTTGAGGGCAAGGAGGACTTGCGAGCATCAAAACATATCACGAAAGGTAGCTCCAGAGGGGCTACCTTGAGTTTTACTTTACGAAGTAAAGGGGAGGGCGGCCAGCCCCGTTACCTGATTCTTCAGGAGATTGCTAGTCATTTTAGTAACCCCCCCCCCTCCACACCTCCCACGCACCCTAAGAGCAGACTCAAAACATTGTAATTTACAGTATTTTTGTTCTTTTCGGATCAAGAAACCACATTTTGCTACATGGTGAAACCTCCGTAAATACCAGTGTTTTTGCTAGGTGCTGGCCAAAAAACACTGTAAATACCGTGCTTTTTACTACCAGAGGCAAAAAACATCGTAAATACTGTGGTTTTGGGCTTCCGACCCGCCAAAAACATCGGTATTTACGGTGTTTTTTGCTCCGAGAGTTGCAAAAACACGCGAAAACACCACCGATTTGACGATTTTCGGCCACTACGGAACCGAGCAAAAACGCTGCAGGGGTAACACCAACACCAACAACAACAACACCAACAGCAACAGCAACAGCAACAACAACGACGACGACAACAACAACAACAACAACACCAACACACAACGCACAATGCACAACGCACAACGCACAATGCACAACGCACAACGCACAACGCACAACGCACAACACACAACACACAAAACACACAACACACACACAACACACACAACACACACAACACACACACAACAACACACAACAACACACAACAACACACACACACACAACACACAACAACACACACACAACAACACACACAACACACAAACACACAACAACACACAACAACACACAACAACACACAACAACACACAACAACACACAACAACACACAACAACACACAACAACACACAACAACACACAACAACACACAACAACCCACAACAACACACAACAACACACAACAACACACAACAACACACAACAACACACAACAACACACAACAACACACAACAACACACACACACAACACACAACAACACACAACAACACACAAACACACACAACACACAACAACACACAACAACACACAACAACACACAACAACACACAACAACACACCAACACACCCACAACAACACACACACAACACACAACAACACACAACAACACACAACAACACACAACAACACACAACAACACACAACAACACACAACAACACACAACAACACACAACAACACACAACAACACACAACAACACACAACAACACACAACAACACACAACAACACACAACAACACACAACAACACACAACAACACACAACAACACACAACAACACACAACAACACACAACAACACACAACAACACACAACAACACACAACAACACACAACAACACACAACAACACACAACAACACACAACAACACACAACAACACACAACAACACACAACCACACACAACAACACACAACACAACAACAACAACAACAGCAACAACAACAACAACAACAGCAACAACAACAGCAACAACAACAACAACACGAACACGAACAATACCAACACCAACAACACGACCAACAACACCAACACCACCAACAAACCCAACCACACCAACAACACTAACAACACTAACAACACCAGAAACACTACCACCACCAACAACACCAACACCACCAACACCAGCACCACCAACACCACCAACACCACAACCACCCAACCCCAACCACATCGCCGAAGCCTTTCAGTCGCTTTTAGCAGACTCCCCTTCATATTTTTGGAAAGAAAATGGCCGCGTCGCTTTTACCAGACTCCACTTTATGTATTTTTCCCTCCCCTCTCCCCTTCATTTTTTCTTCGGTTCCTTTCTTGCTTACCTACCTTTCGTGTTCCCCCTCTCAAGTCAAAACCATCACCCTTGGAACATGTTTTTGGTCTGTGATTTTCAATCCATCATCAACTTTCCTTTCCTTTGCGTCAGAAGACTCAAGACTGACCCCCAGATTTTTGTCTCCAATGCTGGAAATGACACAGAGAGCTGTGAGGAGTTTGAGAAAGGTTTCCCTGCACAGTTCATTGCAGAGGGTTTGGACCAGACCCGAGGATGGTTTTACACTCTTATGGTGCGCTGGCAAGTGAAGCAAGTGTTGCAAGTGCTGCGCGGAAATAGAGATTATTGCAAGACTGAGTAACATTTGTGGGGGTACTCCCGTGCAACTGTGAACGGTGACATCAATCACAAGGGTATAAATATCTGTAGTTATATATAATTATAGTGTACAATATTATAATATATACTGTATTTATGTGTTTGAGACCAGGACAACAGGTCAGGAAGGCACAGCAACGCTTGAATTTCAGCTGGCAGGTCCTTGGTACGCATTTGTTCAACAAGCCTCCCTTCCAGAATCTCATTGTGAATGGCATGGTTCTTGCAGTCACCCACTTAGAGACTTAGATCTTGCAAGACTTGGCGCTTGAGACTTCAACCATCAGGTCACAAAACAGAGTAACTGAATGTCACAGGAGAAGCCCAACATAGCCCAACAAAGTGCATAAACTGTAAAGTTTTCTCCAATGAAAGTGACGTTTCCTTGCAGTTCTAGTTCTACCCGAGCCCTCTGATGTGCAAGGCCGATGGCAAGAAGATGAGCAAGCGCCTGAAGAACTATCCAGATCCCCAGGAGTGTACAAGCGGTGAGTCTCCCAAGCAAACAAATCAATGGATTGGAATGGATCAGAGATTCTTTCCGTATGTTTGCAAAGAATTTCATGGAGAGTGGAAGAAACTTGGCATCCGAGACTATCTGAGACTAGAGTCCATCCATGGTTGTGCTTATCTTCTGTGAATTCGTCTTGAGGCTGGAATAGCTGGTAGCATGTCGAACAAGATGACACCAGAGTGTACAACGAAAGCATATTGTGAAACGCCCAAATGCACAGCAAAGCAACGCTAGCTCTTCTTACTCAGCATTGAGACAGGTGATCCTGTTGTCACCAAAGGGAACACAGAACTCAATAGAACTCAAACTGCGTCTTGAACCATTTACTAAGTTTACTTTACTGGAGTAGCCGACAAGCCGTGACACTGTATATAATCCCCAAAAAATCTGTTTTTTCTTCAGAGAAAAGCTATGGCGCGCGGCCGTGGCCTACGCAGCACTCTGCCACTTCTCTTGGCCCTTTCTATCAGTTTGAGGCCAAAATTGCCCGCACTATCTGCATTGTCCATTTCCCGACGCCCTGAGGTGGTTTGCTTCAAGAGGTTTGCTAGACAGTGTCGCTTCAAGTAGTCTGGGTAGTCCATTGGGCAGTCCATTGGGTAGTCGATTGGGCTGGAAATTGTTGGGGTCACTTTGGTCACCTCGCCAGGTGCTTCACGTTGCCTCCTTCCTCAGAGGCCCAATGTCTCGTGCCACTGGAAGTGAGTCGCTGCGTTAGCTGCTGTGTCGGTCGCTGTCAAGCCTCGCTTTATGTCAGTTCGAGGCACGCGCTTCCAAGCGGTTTGAGCTTCCAAGAAGATCTTTGGTCCGCCCTGGCCCTGCTGCGAGAACTTAGTTTCAGTGGTGGTTTGAACACTTTGACAAGAAGCTGTTGCCTCAAGTGAGTACTCGCGTGCAGAATCTAGGTGCCGGTGCGAATGACATGAGTTTTCATACAATGGTCCGTTTTCATTTCGTGTGTGAAGTTGTTCTGCAAATCAAAGCCAATTGGCTCAATTGCTTAGAATCGCTTAGAATCGCTTAGAATCGCTTAGAATCGCTTAGAATCGCTTCTTGAAAACCAAAGTCTAGAGGTTCCAAGGCGCATCAAGGCGCAATGGATAAGGCCCAAAAATGGCACTGTGCTGTGTTGGGCGGATCTGCTCTCCTCTACGCTCTGTGGCTATGGAGAAAACGTCGAAGAGATCCGTTCGGCCTTGACACCCCGGTTGATCGTCGAGGATATAAAACTGTGAAATACGAACTGCCTCCAATCTTGTTTGGCGAAACAGCCCGAGATTGCCTTCAGCACTGGGTGGCCGACATGGATTTTCCATGCTGTCCGAAGCTGAGAAAAAAATTGACTCAGCGAATGGCTCATCCGATTTATGGCTATACCATTCAGCCCAAAGAGGTCTGGCAGGCTGTGGGACGATGGCTAGTGGAGAATCAGAATTGGAAGAAGGCACCCGAACCTGACTGCTTCGTATTCTCTGGCACGGTGTTGGCGAGCGTTGGAAGCATCCTTCACACGTTCGCACAACCTGGAGACAAGGAGCGAAACTGTTTTGGGGTCTTCTCTGTCTTTTGCGAAGCCTCAACTTCTACATTGATTTTCACCAACGAAACTCTCATAATGTATATACTATAGGTAGACACGCGTTGCAAGACGTGGCTGATGTCTACAGGCGTACCTGTAAGCTCATATTATGAATGTATGTAACAGGATGTAATCTGTAATGTTACTGTAATCCATATACATATATACATATATAACCATATATACATCTATAATCCTATATACATATATAATCATAGATACATATATAATCATATGTACATATATACATATATATATATATACGTATATACGTATTTACGTATATCAGTATATGCATATATATATATACACATAATTACACCTATATACATATATATATATGTTATATCCTACCCTGTGTGTGTGTTTCGGCGCAGGTTCTCACCATGGTACCTTTATATGCACCGTTGCAAAAGGTGGTGCCAGCATCGCGATGCAGCCTAGTTCAATACCATTTGCCGGTCAAAGTGGAGCGAGGAACTTCTCGGTATGAGATGGATGTGGAGGTGGGGCTTGAATTTTTAAAAATTGAAACCCCGGAGCTATCAGCTCATTGTAAATTGGTCTAGGAAATCCTGTCCACCAGGGAGGACACTTTGAACACAGAGGGAAACATATTTCTTGGTTTGCTCAAAAAGGTTTGCCCCACGAAAGTTAAAGGGGAATTATAGGGATGAGGGAATAAACTCCATGGAAAGATGGACAGGGACTGAAGAAAGTGCTGGACAAAGAGAAGGTGAAATTCATCATTCTGTGCAGTCCTCACAATCCAGTTGGTCGTGTTTGGACTCGAGAAGAGCTAGTGGCCTTAGCTGGTGCGTGCAAGGATCGTGGAATTCTGGTCATTGTCGATGAAGTCTGGGCAGATTTGTGTTGGAAGCCCTTCACTCCATTTCATCCCGTGGCGATGGAGATTGGTTGCAAATGTATCAGCTTGGGATCTCCAACAAAGACATGGAATCTGGCTGGCTTTCATTGTTCTTATGCAATTTTTGACGACAAAGAAATGCTGAAACGCTTCAAGGAATATGTCGAACCCCAGTTTCTTCATCATGGAAGTACCTTTGGCACTGAAGCCTTGCAGATCGCATACGAAAGTAGAGAATGGATGCAAGCAGTGAGAGCTTACGTGGAAGCAAACTTTTGCTATTTGGAAGAGTCGCTGAAGGACATCCCCGGCATTCAACTTGTACCTTGCGATTTGTGAGCACATTTTGAAGATATAGAGTATTCACCAGGCACCAAACAAGGCCATAGTTACTATAGTAGTGGAATGCTTCTCGAATGCTAATGTCAATGTTTATGCTGTTGAATAATCTTAATGTTGTTTGATTTTCTTGTTGCGGATTTCCATCTTACAATGAAAGCTATTCGTTCTATTTGTTTTCAGCAGATTTCTGAACACTTCAGGCGGATCACGAGGCCAGGGTTCCGTCGCTTCAGGTTTCAACACGTTTGGAGACATGGGAAAATCATGGAAAATCATGGAAGACATGGGCAAATGCGGCAAACCACTGGAACACATTGGAAACACAGCAATGACACCAATCTTCAATCTAGAGGCTCTGGACAATATTTTCCTCAAACCTAATGGGTCCCCGGTGAAGTGTGATGTGTGTCACATGTTTGATCCGGAGAGCCATCGATAGCTTTGTTTCTTCGTTGATTTCAGGCGACTTACTTGGCCTGGTTGGATTGCTCCGGATTGGGCCTTCCAACGGACACGGTTCATTCCTGGATGATCCAGGTGGGCGATGTCTTGTACTGCGAATGCGTTGTGAGACACGAGAGACTTCAAGGGACACTTCAAGAGACGCATCAGCTATGATCTGCATGTCCAAGAGCATATTTTTCAAGACAGAGACCTTGCAAGGTCTACTTACTGGCAAGCAGTCATAAGCAATAAGCGTTATACAACAAAGCAGTCATGAGCAATCACAACACTTGCGATAGACTACATGAAAAATCGCCTGATATGTTTAAGATGAAAGCAGGTGAAAGCAGGTGAAAGCAGGTGAAAGCAGGTGAAAGCAGGTGAAAGCAGGTGAAAGCAGGTGAAATAGCAAGTCTTTGTCACGAAACAACACCATGTTGCGTCATGGACTCCATGGACAGATTGCTACCACAGCAGCTGTAGCTGCGAGAATTTCTCGCCATGGCGGGGAGCCCGACGTTTCGTTTGTTTAATACCCTGCTGGCAACGATGGTGGCCATTTTGGTTGGCTTCTTTTGTGTTCGCTTAAAGGTGGTCAAGCCAGCTGAAGGACATCTGAAAGGGTTGGGTTTTTTCATCGGCTCCATGGTCTTCCCACTGTTGATCTTCAACACGGTGGCTACAGCTGAATTGCACTCGGTGAACTATGGGGTGATTGCAGCTTGTAGTCTCGGAAAGGTCGCAGTGATGATTTTGACATGGCTACTGGCATATGCGGCGTTTCAGCCAAAAAGGTCACAAGGACAAAGAATCCTCACAGCCTCGGTGTTTGCCTTCTTTTCAGTAGCATCCAATGACTTTGCCATTGGCTTTCCAGTCATTGATGCACTGTATGACAAGGATATGAGCATTTACATTACTGGCAATGCTTTGGTCGGCTCCTTTGTATTTGTTCCGTTGACCATGATCGCATTTGCCATCGGCGGTGCCATCAGAACTGGAGCAGGGCAGAGCAACTGGCAGATTTTTGTCAATATCATGTATGATTTGTCCACGAACCCAGTGATATTCATGACTTGCGGTGGACTATTGTTCAAGATCATCTTCGGGTTCAGTCTTGTTGAGGAAAATGGCAAAATCAAGCTTCCTCACCCATTTTCGGACTTTATTGAACTCTTTACTTCTCCATTTGCGATGTCTGCTCTGTTCCTGACTGGGACGTCACTACGCTCTCCCCAGATTTCTGTTTGGGCGGTGGGCTGTGTGCTAATGAAGGTTGTTGTATGTGCATGGCTCAGCTATCTCTTTGCGACTTTGTTTGTCCGTGGAGAAGGCGTGAAACCCCTACAAGACTTCACCTTCTTCTATGGTGCGATCCCTACGAGCAGTGCTCCAATTGTTTTTGCCAGTCAGTTCGACCCTGAGGCGGCTGAGTTGGTTGCCACTGCTGTTCTTTTTGGCTTGGTACTGGCAGGTCCGATTATGTTCATCACTGCCTACTCTTTGAACGAACGAGGAGACTCTACCACCAGCATGACAATCTTACGCCAGGTCCAGTTCAGTGCAGATGCCGGCAGCATTTTCTGTGGACTACTCTTTTGTGCAGGTCTTTTGTTGCTTCGACAATACTGGTGCTTCACATGTCCTGCAAAGCAGCTGCTTTGCTTCTATGGACTTGTTTTGACAGCTTATGCAGCAGTGTCGTTTTCCATCGACCCATTCATTTCCAATGCAACATGTGAAGAGTTCAACGACGCGGACCTGGGAACTCCATCGGTTGTGGTTTTCAGTTGGCTACAAAGCAGTGCATCCTGTATGTTGCTGGTGCTGCAGTTTATGTATGCCTGGGGAGAAAAGGTGTCTACAAACGAGCCTTGGAAAGGCTTTGGATTTGCTTGCGGATGCCTACTCTTTGCACTTTTACCAGCCTTTTTAGCAACGCCAAACACAATCAACGAGATTTGCAACCATGAAGAGTTTGGGTCTTTGCAACTTTGCCTCAATGTGATTTGGTCTTGCGTGAAGCTGGTGATCGCTGTATCTTTGGCACTCTATGCCATGTGTCGAGTGCCCAGAGAAAGCTCTGGCGATTCTTCGTCTGACGAGTCAGACTCGGTCGAGGACGAGTGGAGGATTAGAAAAAAAAATCCAGATCAAAAAAAAATTAAAACACTAGGATCTTAAAAAAAATATTGCCTATTTCATCTAAATTTAGTGGTAAGTTAGGTATTTTTTTTTTGATCTGGAAATATTTTTTCTTGATCCCCCGAGGCTAGGGGAGATCAAGCTGCTCGAAAGCATCAAAAAAAAATCATTCAGGGCCAACGCTAGACATTACATGCAAAGCATCCCTTTTTTTCCAAGCGCAAAACTGGTGTCAATGGGTCAGACCACATGGCTTGCTGCATTTGGAAATAAAAATGCAATTTGCTGTGCGCTCTTCATCTTTGTTTTCACTGTGTTTCCTTAATGGTTCCATGATTTTCAATGATTTTTCCAATCTTTTCATTGCTTTGTCCATGGCCTTCATTAACTTTTCCATAGCTTGCATTGATTTTCCACGGTTTTCATCACATTTTCTATGTTTTTCATTGATTTTCCATGGTTTTCATTGATTGCTCCATGGTTTTTATTGTTTTTTTTCCATGGTTTTCATCATTGTTTCCATGCTTTTCATTGAGTTTACATGATGCTCAAGGTGCCTTTTCGGCACAACATGCATCGTGTCAACATCTAGAATGTAAGTTGACGCAGACTTGTGTTGGCTGTAAAGTTTCACTGGATGACGTGAGTTAGATTATTTTCTATTTCAGGGTTGATTTCGGTTCTATTTCAGATTTTTTTCGAGTTAGATTGCGATCTATTTAGCGTTTGTTTAGGGACACAAACTGTACGTATAAATGCGTATAGTTGCGTAGGTGTAAGTAAACCTAAATAGATTTAAATGAATACATACATAATACATATTTAATATATTTACATATGGGTACAGTAGTGTGTTTACAAGTGTGCGAACTTGGATTAAGATAAAAAAAAGCGGGAGGGGGGGATTGGGGGGAGGGCGCAGCGCCTCCCCCCGAAGCAGAATGACTATACCTGTTCTCCCGTGAAATGCTGTAGGTTACATATGGTATTCAGGGGTGTCTGCTGCTAGTTTAGGGTCTATTTAAGGTTGGTTGCAGGTTTCTGTAGGGTTGGTTTAGGCTACGTTTAGGTTTTGTTCAGGGTTCATTTAGGGATACAACATGTACATTTAAATGACTATACTTACATGGATGCATTTAATTATACATGAATACCTTATTGATTTTTCCATGGTTTCAATAATTTTACATGGTTTTCAGGGTGCTTGTTCTGCACAACAAAACTTCCTTCCTTCCTTCCTTCCTTTCCTTCCCTCCTACTAGTTGCTATTGTTTTTATACCGTTTTTTTTTTGATCCGGAAAAAATTGTTTTTAACCCCTCCCCCGTCGAGGACTCGGTCGAGGACTTGGTCCAAATCGAACCTGAGCTCCAGGGCTTCGAGGGTCAAACTCAGGTTCAAAGGAGCGCTGAGAGTATCGGGAGCCTCGAGAGAGGTGCAGAAGATTGGAACCGTTTGATACCCAGAGGCCAGGGACAATCGATTCTCAATTGTGACATCAATAGAAGATAGAAGTACAATGAAGTACAATGAAGTACATAGTATGTCAATGTATTCACATTGTATTCACTGTATTCAATTATTTGAGAGTTATTCATAGACATTCAACATTTGCACAGGTTTCCTTTTCTTAATGACCGCTCTTTTTCCTGATGCAGAGTGCAGTGAGGATTCAGAATGTGGCCGGTTTTGCGAGACCAGTTTGATGAAACAAAACGGTGCAAGAAGAGGAACTTGTGTGCTTTGAGGCTTAGACTGGCTAAGTAGGTGCATAGCGAATAGCGGCAATAGCGATGTAGCAATGTATCTGCATTTCATGAATCATGCACCCTGCAGGTGTCATTTTAACGATCACCATCATGAATATCGTGAAGGTGCTGACACAGGTGATCAATGCAGCACTGGTCCATTTTGCTGACCACAAGAACATGGGGAGCTTTGCTTCAATGCTACTTCTGGAAAGTGCGTTGGAACATGCTCAGCTCATTGTTCTGATGGCCGCACTTTTCTTTGACGCGCACTTCACTGCCCTCCTCTTGGCAATCATACCTCGGATCTTCCCTCGAAATTCCTGCTGCCCAGCCAGGGACAACAACCGCAATGGCACATGGTTTGGTTGGTCTTTGGTAAGGCAACCCAATCCAAAGGACTGCCAGTGAGAACGGAGAACGCCAGTGGCCCATCGTGACCGTAAAATCTCACATGGAATCATGGACATTAAACCATATGAAGACATTTGAACATTTGAAGCTATGACCTACAGAAATTCATGTGCAGTGCAACAGCGCAACTGACACTTTGTGCATGACTTGAGTTTACAGAGTGAGAAAAGGGCTGCAGGAGTGACATTTTCCTGACTGCTTCAGAAGATGAATCGAAGAGGTACTGGTAATGGCAATTGCCAAAGGGATTGATACAATAGGCAACTCTACTTCAATTGCTAGAAGAAGCACTTTCCTCCCCAAGTTCTAATCTACCCTGCATCTAGGATTTTCTGTGAACTTCCTGGGGTGACATTCCTCAAGGCTCTTTGCGTCTGCCCGGTGTGCCCTGCGTTCCGATTGCTTCATTTCACAGCTGCTCGTAGGCAGGCCTCGTTTTCTCGTCTGGCAGCGAGTTCCATCCAGAGTACGGACACTTCCAGCGGCCGCAAAGCTGCAAAAGCTGTGCTGCAAAAACGCTGAAGGAGTTTTGGAGTTTTGGAGTTTTAAGCTGTTTTAACAGTGAATTCCAATGGATGCCAAAACATTTGGCGGGACAGCTTGGATTGTGGTGCCAAATGGGGAAGGTCAGGACATGGGCGGAATGTGAATCGAAGGCGGAACGAGCGGTGTTTTGGTTCTACTACAGTAAGACTCAGTAAGACTCAGTAAGCTGTTCACGCAAACAGTGACTTGTCTTTCATCTCAGGATGAATCTTGCTTGCAGCAGGCTCGTCAAAAACTTGGACTGGAGAAGACCCAAGAGTTCACATAGTGCCTATGGGTTCACTTACGCTTTGTTCCTATCAGTTCCTATCCCTCCATGCACTGCATCTCTTTTGACCAACTGTTCCATCTTCCTGCCAGCTCCACAGGCAGAAATTGCGAGAGGCTCTTGAGCGCTTAAAGCGCGCTGTGCTGAAGAAGTAGACACAGTTAGACACAGTAGACTAGACGGCCTGAAAAATGGGCCGTTGCGAGACACGTGAGACGTTGGAAAATTCAATGCGTTGGCTGCTGGCCCGGCCCCTGCCGGCCTCATTGTCTATGAGGAACTCTGAGGAACTGAGAACAGTTGAAGTGTTCGAAGTGTTCGAAGTGTTCGGAAATGTGCTCCTCTGTTCTCACCGGTCGCAGGTTGGTCTCCTCCTGGCACCGTCACCAGCGGGAGCCGCGTCAAAGAAGGAGAAGGAGACGATCAAAACTGCAGCGCAGCAAATGCACGGGCTGCAGGAGCGCAGAAGCCATAGCCCATGTGTTGGTTGCAAGGAAACCAGTGAGGTCGAAGCAGGTTCAAGATTTACAAATGCATGTATTACGCACAACACGCAACATACATAGAGTCTTCATAGAGCATAATTATAGGTATGGGGTTAAAAAAAAATATTTAAATTAAGGCATCAACAAATACATATTTAAGGCATTTTAAGGCATCAATTAAAAATATTTAAGGGATCAAACAGAAAATATTCATTTTTCCTGCGCTGGTGCAGTGTTTTGGCCCTTTTATGCAACTTTCAAATCTTGTGGTCTTTGAATCTCCCGGTCCTTCAGTTCTCTCCCTTGGTCCCCTGGTCCCTTGGTCCTTTAGTCCCTTGGTCCTCTGGTCCCTTGGTCCTCTGGTCCCTTGGTCCTCCGGTCCCTTGGTCCTCTGGTCTTCTGGTCCCTTGGTCCTTCCGTCCTTTGGTGGCTCTGGTGCCTTAAACATTTCGAAGAAATCCTTAATTCAACCAGCCGTTAAAAAAACCCTAAATCAGCCTCAATAACCCCTAAACTACCCCCAAGCCAAAGTAAGTCTTAAACGAATCCTAAACCAACCCTCAATCAGCCCTAAACTAACCCTAAATAAACCCTAAACATCCCTAAGCAAATCTTACATAAACCCTAAACGAAACCTAAACGAACCTTAAATAATAAGTTGTAAGCGAAACGAAAATCAACCTTAAACCAATCGCAAATAATCCCTAAACCAACCCCAAATAAACGCTAAGCCACCCCTAAAAAAACATAAACCAACCGTAAATAAACCCTAAAGAACACTTATTAAACAAACAAACAACAAACCAACCCTAAATAAACCCTAAGCAAACCCAAATAAACCACAAACCAACCCTACATAAATCCTAAACCAACCCTGAACCAACCAGAAATAAATCACTAAACCAACCTTAAAGACACCGGAAACAAGACCTACATCAACCCAAAATAACCCCTAAGCCAACCCTAAAGAAACCCTGAACCAACCGTACATAACACCTAAACCAACCACGAACCAATCCCAAATACATCCTGAATCAACCCTAAGTAAACTTTGAACAGCCCCTACACAAATCTTAATACCAACCCTAAACAAACCCTAAAACCAACCCTAAATACCAACCCTAAATAAACAAACAACCAACCCTCAATAGATTCCAAACGAAACCTAAACCACAAAGCCTTGAACAAAATCAAAATAACCCCTAAACCAACCCTACATAAACACTAAAAACACTTTAAACAACTTTAAATGATATTTGAACGACACCTAAATAAACCTGTTACCAACCCTGAATAGACACCTAGTAAACCATAGGCCGACCCTAAACTAACCCTAAAACAAGCTAAGTCAACGTAATAGGCATCAAACCAAGCCTAAATCCACCCTAAACCAAACATAAACAAACTTTAAACCAACGTAAGTTTCAAAGCAACCATCGAAAATCAAAAATTCGAACTCCAAAGTGTTGCAGGTGCTGTCGAAACGGCAGCGTCGAGCCCTGCGAATGCTCGATTTCTAGGTCCAATGTCCTGCAAAAACCTTACGGGCGAGAGGCTCCACTTCCAAAACGATGCAAATACCACAGAAATGCTCGGCTTTGTCTCCAAACTGTGGCAAGGGCCATAGAAAACACGGGATTCCAGGGGATTCCAGGGGAATATTTTTTTTTTAATGCTTTATTTTTTTTTGGATCCCTCACCCAACGGGATACATATAGAGTACGAATGATTAATAAATACACACATTTTTTCTAGACAGATGTCGTATCGTCGTATCAGAATCTGACTGCGATTTGCATTGACTGCAACGGCAGTTGGAGGATCGCTGGGCTCAGATAGCCAGCAAAGGTCCAGATGGAGCCAAGGAAATCTTGGAGGCGTGCCGCCTTCGAAATAACATCACCGATTTGAGGAGAAACGCAGAACACTAAGATACACTAAGAACACAAAAGATGAAAAGAAGAAGCGACAGGAGACGCTGTGAATATCAATGCAGCAAGAGTGACATATTAGTTCTGTATTTGTTTCGTGCTGCACATGCCATAACACATGAGGCCTTCAGTGGAGTGTCGTACAGCACATTCGTCATCAAAGTGCCAGCGGGTCAGAGTGTGGGCGTCGACATTGAGGAGCTGCACCTGGTTTCAAAACATCCGAAGTCAAAGCTTTACACATCAAATCAATTTGCACATAATCAACATGCAATCAGCGTTTGGCAAGCATTTGGAGAACATTCGCAGAGCATCGTCCAAACATTGTGAGGATCGAACTATCACCTCTGTCAGCAGCCGGAAGCTGGGCTGGAGCACCGGTGAGTAGCCCAGATTTGAATCCAAGACACAAGTGAAGCCAGGAAATTCCTGGAAATTTCGTACTTTTCCTCCGTTTTTTTGCGTTCAAATGGGCTCCAAGAAAGGGGCTGAAACATGCATTCTACTTTTGCATACTCACATCTCTACACATCTCTACACATCTCTACACATCTCTACACATCTCTACACAGCTCTACCCGCCTTACCCGCCTTACCCTTTGAGGTGACACCATCCAAGAGATTAATGGCATCGAGGCCAAGGTGTGGCATGTGTGGCATGTGTGGCTGGGAACCTTCGCGAATCGGTTGTGACTCTGACGTCAGGATGAGGAGATGGTTGTGAACAGTGTCAAGGCGGCGAAGAACCAGGTGCCTTTGATATTTATTTGGGTGAACATTGAATCATGTCATCATATCATCATATCATATATCATCATATATCTATAAGATAGTTAATTTCATCAGACATCTAAGAAGAACCTTTCACTGCAACATGAATACACGATTTGCAACATGGCAGGAAACAAATCTGCTGTTTTGGTGCAATTCGATCTGACTGAAATCTTTGTCTTTGTCCTATTCCAACAAGAAAGTTGTCTCTATGCCATTTTACAGCAGTTTACCGATCGTTCACGATGCTAACGACTTGACGATTGACACAGAATCTGTCAGGGTCAGGACCTTGTCTTCAAGGTTCAGCGACTGTCTGAGTCTCCCTGGGTAAGTCTCGACAGGTGGGACAGGAGAAACCTTCCTTGGACCTGGGTCCATCGCATGTGATTACAAAGACTGATTGAAACATATTGAAACAACAGAATCTCTCAGATCCTTTGCACAGTGTACAAGAGAGCCACAGCAAACACATGCCGAGAGAAAGTTCAGGATTTCCAATGGCATTGTTGTTGTCGTAGCAGCATTTGGAGTTTCGCTGCCATAATTGGACAGGGCACTGACCAACGTTTACGCGTATTCCTGGCGCAAGCTTTGCCTCACAAGGGAGGAAAAGGGACATTACAGGGGCGATTCTAAATGAGGCAATGTGTGGCATATGTAAGTGGTAGCTGCTGGTAGCTGCTGGTAGCTGCTGGTAGCTGCTAGTAGCTGCTGGTAGCTGCTGGTAGCTGCTGGTCGTGTTTGATCATTTTGTGGTTGTTTCCCTGCAAATATGTCAAATATGTTAACGTTTTCGCCAGGGACATTGATGCTGAAGTGGTTTTGCCTGAGCCGGACCAGGCACATGAAACTCTGTAGTGAAGATAGTTGCAACTATCCATTTTGCAACCTACGCCGAAAGGTCAGTGACATGTTCAGAGACCTGAAGAACAATGTCAATTTGGCAAAGGACCTTTGATTTCCCGATTCCAATCCGCTTTCCATTGCTCTTCGCCTCTACAGGAATCACATGAAGCATTTACATTCATGACGTTTCATGACATCTTTCAACAACATTTGACTATGTCTTCCATTGAGCCACATATGCAAATGTTGTGCAACTGCACTGGAAGGACGATATTATTGACATGGCCACGGTGAAGGCCTGGGTTCAGCTGGTTAGTTCAGAGAAACGGCCTGCCGCCATGTCGCGGCCAGGAGAAGTTGGATGCCTTTATAAAGGCGCTGGACCAATTCGCCTCCAGCTGAGGGCACTGCGAGTCTCTGGCACCGTTTTCTGAGCCCTGGACGCTTTCAGGGCTGCGATCAATTTTTCGAGGCAAAAAGAGGGCTTCGCTGATTTATGCTGATTTTTGGGATTTCTCTGATTTTTCTTGCAATTGTACTAGTATTGTACTAGTGTACTTGGTCATCTTTGTCCATTTCACCGATCCGTGACCTGGACTCGTTTACTGACGAATTTCGGGGAGGAAGTCGTGGAGCGATACGGTGCCGATGCAGCATCTTGACGGAAAGCGAGTTACGTCGCAGACTTCGAAAAAAGTCGACTGATGTCGGCCGAGTGTGACAAAGTGTGATAAAGTGTAATACTGCATGAAAATAATTGAAAATACATAGTGTGAAGTTGTCTGGTCGATTTACTCACTTTGGTACTTGGGGCGAAGACGAGACAAGCTCCTGACTTGTGTGATGCCCCAGGTTCGAATGTACATGCTGAACTCTGGTGTTGTACGTGCAGAAATCCTGAAGTTCAAGGCCGAGCTTGATTTATGTTGACTACTTTGCACTGATTCGCGCCTTCACTGTAATGTTTATGTTTACCCGAGCACCAGGAGGAGGGTGTGCGAGACGTTGTGAAGGCCTGTCTTGCACAGAACTGCAACAGCCTGTCGCTCCGCACTACGCGTGATTACCGTTGACTAAATTGATTACATACCTTGCTTATCCTTGCTTATCCTTGCTTCATTTGCTTCATTTGCTTCATTTGGTTCATTTGGTTCTGGTAATTTCTGGTATGTTCTGGTTTCAGAGTTCCCGCCTCGGTTCGACGATGGCTCCAGGATGTCTTTCTGCCCTGGTACAATGCTTATCGCTTCCTTGTCCAGGAGTCAATTGTTGAGTTTTGGGTGTTGTACGTGGCACAGTTGCGCACGAAACTACCAGCAGTTTGGCTGGTGTAGGTGGCAAGTAAAGGCAGCTTTTCTAGACAGATTTGACAATGAAGTGGATTTCAAGAAGCGCACCTTGCACCAAGGGAAATTCTGCATTCCATTTGTTTGACTTCTTTGTAGTTCTTTCTTCCTTTATCCTCCAAGTCATATTCATCGTGACCTTCCCATGTCGAGTACTCGAAGTTTGCTTCCAGGAGAGCTTCAGATATGAGGCGAATGCTCAGAAGTTCAAGTACCTTGTCTGAACAGAGTTACTCAATCTGCTCACATTTAAAAAAAATACATATGATCTTATTCATTCCATTTTTTTTTTCAATGTCCCGACCACACAAAGCTGCTGCACTAGTTTTCTTATTCACATGGCTTGGGCCTCCGCACGCTGCAAAACCTTAATGTGTGCCCAGGCCGGATCCAGCCAAAGTCAAGGCAGACTATGCAGACTGCTGCATAGTGACGGGAGATATGGGCAGTGGCAGTATGGCTCAGTATGGGCAGTATGCCTCATGCCATGAATGCTTTTGTTGTGGGACAAGTTGGACAAGAGCTGGGGTGCGAATGCTCGATGGAATCGACCTGTTCTATTCACCCATGAAGGGCACCTCAAAATTGCCTGTCACCACGAGGTGGGGTTAGGCCTCGAAACCGCTTCATTTGGCCAGATGACACAAGTACGCTTGGCACATGACTTGCTATGTCAGCAGGTTGATGGTTTCTGGACTAAAGCTGTTTTGAAAGGATTTGAAGCCTTCCGAGTCCTGGTCTTCTGCCGCCTAATTATGGAACCAACTTAGGACTCATCTTGATTAAAGAGGGACAGGCTGCGCAAACGACAGTCCTTTGAAATGCGGGACAGGCCAGTTCAAACCACATGGACCAGTGGATCTTCGCTTCGATGCATGAACTCATCCGCTTCGTCCGGGAGGAGATGCAGCAAACATCAGCCTTGAAACGGGATCATAAACGGGCCTTGGTTTGTGCCCCGCACTTCTCCAGGAGATGGAAGCCTACAGACTCTACACAGTCGTGCCTAGACTGGTGTCCACCACTCAGGGCTGGAAAGAGCTGGAAAGAAGATAAATCCACAGTCACCTGATAGTCACCTGTTTCACCAAAGCTGATTCTGACATGCCATGAAGATCATGAAGGGAAGAGATTTCGATACATTCGAGGCTTTCAGGCTTTGAATGTTCTTTGATTTGGCTCAGGCTTTGCTTTGGCCTTGAGGTAGCAAACCGGAGTGTCTAAACGACCAAGTTTCTTTGCGCGAGCGACTTGGATCACCGGCCCTAGCCACGTGGAGCCACGTGAAGCCACGTGAAGCCATGGCTGCCATTGGTCCTTTGGAGCCCATGCCGAGTGTTCAGAGAGTGCAGCGAGTGCAGCTGCGCGATGCCTGGCGCCGTCCGCCAGAGCCGAGTCGTCCAAGTCGTCTAAGTCGTCCAAGTCGTCCAAGTCGTTCCTGGCAGCGCAGCGGGGGCAACGGGGGCAACAGGGACAACGGGCAGCGTTGGGAAACTGAGGCTATCGGAGTTGTGATGGCTGGGATTGTGGCACAGTGTCCCAAGTGTTCCAAGAGGAGAGACTGGGCCACGAGTTCGAGCCTTTTTGCAGCGCTCAAGAAAACTGAGCTGACTGAAACTGCACCTGGGCCGTCGCGTCCTTTAGGTCCTCCCCAAAACTCTTCCATGAATTCAGGAACTAGTTCCAACACACAGGGGATGACAGAGGACTCCGAGGAAATGAAACGGTGGAAAGAGTGGCTGCATGACAAGGCTGAGAAAGCAGCTGAGAAAGCAGCTGAGAAAGCCCGCGCGGCTCGCAAACATGCGTCAGTGCTTGCGACAAAGCTGCGAAAGGCTTCAAAACGTGTCAGAGGTATCAAGCCAGGAAAACTGGCTCAATCTGCCTGGTGGTCAGTGAGAGACTCCTGGTCTCGTACCAGACCAAGGCAGCGGATTTTGTCCGTTGCCCTTGCCTTTCTTTTGCTGATGACTCTTTGGCCCTCACATCCTGTGAACCAAAGCTCTGACCTGCCGAGTGAACAAAGCATCGTGCGTCTCTCGCCGGATGAGGAGGCCCGTCTACAGATGCTGAGTCAAACCACTCCTGGTGTGGTCTACGTGACGGGCAAACCAGCCCCGTGGATCTCGGAGACGGAGAACCAAGGTGAATTTGTCCCTGGTGGCAGTGCTTGGGTCTTTGATAGTCATCATGTAGTGACCAGCCTGAAAAACATTGAACAGGCAAGGCGGGGCTCATTGAAGGTGATTCTCGAAGACCGTACAGAGTTGCCTGCCCGAGTCATCGGAGTGGACACTGGCAGTGATCTTGCCGTTTTGGAGTTGCCAAAGACAGCAACTGCAGGACAGTCCTTGCCGGTTTTGCCTCTGGGACCTTCTGCCAGCTTGAGACTTGGTCAAGATGTGGTCCTTGTTGGCCGCGAAGCAACGTTAGACATGAGGATCTCCAAAGGAGTGGTGTATGGATTGGGCCAGCCACTGGCTTTGGTGGATGCAGATGGTCATCGTGATCTTCCTGTTCAAAGTTGTATTCAAACAGATGTTTTGATGAATTCCGGCAACCGCGGAGGGCCACTTCTGAATAGCCGGGGGCAAGTGGTTGGTATGGCTGTTGGAGCTGATGCCGGGGCCCAGGTGGGCCAGGCCATCCCTTCTGACAGCCTCCAGAAGCATGTTCTAAGCATCATCGCCAGCGGCCACGTCACGAGGCCGTCCTTGGGGATGTATTTGGCACCCGACGGATTTGCTGAGAAGCTGGGGGTCACCGGTGGAGGAGTCGTGGTGCAGGAAGTGATTCCGGGCTCCGCTGCGAAGCAAGCAGGTCTCAGGACAGGTGACATCATTATATCCCAGGGCGACAACCCCATCCATCGCATGGATGACCTGATGACAGTGCTCGAACCCTTCAGTCCAGGAGATTACTTTTCCCTGACTGTCTTGAGGCAAACATCAGGAGAGAGTATATTTGCTCCTTTCTCCTCGCAGACATATTCACAAGTAGACCTCACAGTGCGATCAGAATCCGAGCTACCTTGAGACATAAATTAGATTGAAATAGAATGTATCACAATTGACTCATTGACCATGCAAGCTTGCAGCAAAAATGGATTAAGCAGAGCATCTCAACTGCCAATCTAGGCCTGTAGATACATCGGGAATTCGCAGCGAACAAGAATCTAAGAAGAGAAGACTCCACTAGCAGCTTGAGTTCACGATCAAAAGATTTTCGGCAAACGACTCTCCTGCATGCACTCAGCTCAGTTTCTGGCATTCTTTCATTTGCTTTCATTTGTGCACCCGAGGAGTTTTCTGGATGATTTGACGAATTGGCGGGGACCCAAGTTGAAGGTGTGGTGAATTGTTTTTTTTTTTATAAAGGAGATGCTGAAAAGGCAGGAATCATTGAGAAACAGAACCCGAGCAGACGACTGAAACAGATCAAGAGAAGAACTCTCCTGATATCTCCACACACCTAATAAATCTCCAATAAATCTCCAATAAATCTCCAATAAATTCCTAATCTAAACATTTTTCTCCACATCTCTCAGGTATTCTCAGGTCCATGGAGTCCATGGAGTCCATGTTTTGCAGTTTGAGCTTCAAGGGTCCAAAGTTGGCCAGAGACATCTCGCGCTTTGAACATACCGCGCCAAGCGTTACCCCCAAAGACAGTATCACATATAGTCATATAGTCATATAATGTACATTAATGTACCAATATGTACCATAACTTCATGTAGGATATAAATGGAGGACATAACAGAACTGTAGAGGATGAAAGGACGATGAAATAACAAGGTACATCGAAGCATGAAAGGCCATCGGACCTCTCGCCAGGCACAGCAGTGAATAGCCTAGTAGCTTGCTTCGCTTCGCTACCATGGAAGACTCAAGCCAATCAAGCCCGACACTGCGCCTGTTCAATGCCCTTTTGGTGACGATGCTTGCCATTTTGACTGGATTGTTTTCGGTCCGTTTGCGTCTCATTCGGCCAGAGGATGGGGATTTGAAGGGCATGGGATTTTTTATTGGTTCGATTGCGTTCCCGCTCTTGATCTTCAACACTGTCGCAACAGCAAACATTGGTGCGATTGACTTGGGGGTCATTGGGGCGTGTAGCCTTGGGAAAATCTGTGTTGGAACCATGACTTGGCTCCTGGCATTCGTTGCATACCTGCCAAAGCGATCAAGGGGACAGCGGATTTTGACAGCAGCCGTCTTTGCATTCTTCTCCGTAGCCTCAGATGATTTTGCCATTGGATTCCCAGTGATTGACGCGCTTTATACAGAGGAAGACATGGGAATTTACATCACTGGCAATGCGTTGGTAGGTTCGTTCCTCTTTGTTCCGCTGACCATTGTAGGCCTTGCCATCGGTGGAGCATTGAAGGGCACTGAAGGGCAGGGCTCAAACTATTGCAGAATCTTCGGGACGATCATGTACGACTTGGCCACGAACCCAGTTCTGGTTATGACTTGTGTTGGTTTATTGTTGAAAGTGATTCTCAGCAACACGAATGGGGACATGGAGAAGCTACCTCATCCCTTCTCGGATTTGATTGATGTTTTCACTGCTCCCTTTGGTATGTCTGCTCTTTTTCTAACGGGCACGTCCCTACGTTCACCTCGTGTGGCGGTGTGGGCAGTGGGCCTTGTGCTGATGAAGGTGGTGGTGTGTGCATATTTGAGTTATGCTTTTGCTACGATTCTCATCCCTGAAGATCGTGAAGGCGCACAGAAGTTGCGAGATTTCACGTTTTTCTATGGGGTCATTCCAACCGGGAGTCCACCCATTGTATTCGCTGCACAGTTTGATCCAGCTTCAGCAGAGCTGATCGCCACAGCGGTACTCTTTGGATTAATTCTGGCTGGACCCGTCATGTTTGTCACAGCGTACAGTTTGCCAGAAGAAGATTTGGCTGCCAATATGATTCTCCGGCAAGTACAAGCCACCACCGATGCATCAAGCATCCTTTGTGGTCTCATCTTCTGTTTTTTTCTTTTGTTGCTTGGGCGAGGATGGTGTTTTCAATGCCCAGCGAAAATGTTAGTTGCCTTCTATGGACTGGTCTTGATGGTCTATGCAGTGGTCTCTTTGATGTTGAATCCTATCCTGTCTCCATACAGTTGCGAGCTGTTCAAGGAGATGGAACTGAGAACTCCTTTGGTGTTAACTTTCGGTTGGCTGCAAAACACGGCCTGCATCATGGTGCTTCTGCTGGAATCCATGTTGGTCTATGGCCCAGCAACATCCAAAAAAAACACCTGCTTGGGCTTGTTGATGGCCTTCGCGTGCTTTGTTTTTGCTTTAATGCCATCTTTACTAGCAACACCAAATACTATCAATGAGATTTGTGGAATCGCAGCGGTTCAAACCGTATCCCTCACGTTGACTTTTGCCTGGTCCTGCTTGCAACTATTGATTGCTTCTGTCCTGGCCATAGATGGACTTTGTCGAGCAAGGCGGTCAAAGGAAATGATGGAAGTCCCAATTGGACACGGACAATACGGACATCAAAACGGACAAAGTGGGCATGTGAATCTGCAGAATCTGCACACCGTCAGTGCCAGCGGATCTTCTGGTACGGAATCCGACTCTGAGAGCGGTGCGGAGGAGAACAAGTGGCAACTACTCGTCCCCCAAGGCGCAGAGAACGGGCAGCTGTGACCTGCATTTTCACATATCGTCACTGATTCAGATTTATAAAAAAACATAAAGGGTTGTTTAGGATTTTCTATAAATTCCTAAGGGTTGTTTAGGCGCTTACCTGTACTGGCTCTTTGGTGAGACGCTCTGCGGAACTTCATCCTGCATTGCTCTGCCTGCATCACTCTGTGTATTTCATAAGCCTAGGGAATAGGCGCGAATCCAGGCAACATATGACTCCATGAGGGGAAAGGGTGCTGACGTCTAAACTTATGTGACCAATGTAACCTGAAACGTTAGTTTGACTTTGCAGAGTTAGCACCAACGCAAACATGGCCTGACTGAGCTACTGAGTCATGTGCAGCTCGCTTAAGACACTTCCCCTCTGGGGATAGTCGCAGAACAGCATTGAAGCAGGTTTGGTGCTGACAGCTCAAATTGCACTGCGCATTTTGTGGGGGCTTTGGGCAATGTACAATGGGACTCAGCTCATATCTTCCCTAGTTGCCTTGACTAAATTCATTTCGCTCCGTGCTTGCCTCGGTGGTGCCCCGCATTTCTGCTAGCTCCTTGCCATCAGCAACCTCCATTTGATCCTTTCTATTCCTTTCCCATTTGTTTCATGTTTCCTCACTGATCTTTGTTTTTTGCATGTTCGTCCCAGTCTTCTCGATCCTCTCCTCGCTCTTGCCAGTCTTCGTGTTCATGTTTCCACTTCCGAGCCTGGCCCTTGCCTCTTCTGTATGCCCACCCTCAGCCAAATTTGACAGCAAAACTGAAGTTCATACAAGTCAAAATGAAGGACGGCGCATATATATATAATTTATAATATATATATAATCTATAATATATATATAATTTATAATATATATATAATTTATAATATATATATAATTTATATATAATTTATATATGTATATATATATATAGCACACCCCCTGAAGAGTTCCCCTTGGGAAAGGAGGCTAACTGAACACCAGTGTTACTGACAGTTGTTTGTCATGGTCAGTTGCAAGATGCTTTGCCATGCAACGTGCACCGGCGTGCAGGCACCATCCTTGCAATCAGCATTCTCTTTATCGTCAAGAGTATGATGCAGGTGATCAACGCGGGTCAAGTACTTTTCCATGGAAACAAGAATCGGGGGGGTTTCGCAGCGATGCTGCTGCTGGAGAGCGTGCTGGAGCATGCACAGCCCTGGGTCTTGGTGATTGCTTTGTTTTTTGACCCCAATTTCACTTCGGTGCTTCTAAAGCTATTGCACCAAGTGTGTCCCATCTGTTGCCGCCCGAAGATCAAGCTCACGTGCGATTTGGTGAGGAATCCACACGTGCTTGATTCTGTACCACCAGCAGCCTCAGATTCCGACGGTGTTTTAAATTAAATGTGGCCGTGCACAGTTGAATAGCGCCGCTACAGTTGTTGAGAGCCAAATGCTTCTGCGTAGGGTTCAAAAGCTGACCCTACGTGAAATGCAGCACAGGCAATACAGGACAGCAACAAAAAGTGGATATTCAAGATTATCCAAGTGAATTAAGATAATTAAGGGAATGCTCAAGTTCCTTCCATTGCAGTGCGACACTGGCCGATGGCCAGAGTTGCCGGGTTTGGCGATATTCCAACTGCAGGTATGTGAGACTGAACCGTGACAGGCAGATCGTTTGCGCAACCGAGTGGTTTTTACATGTTTTTTTGTTTTATACTATACTGACTATACTGCTTTTACGTGGTTTTACGATGTGGCCAAATGAGTCAAAGTTTTGGTTCAAACCGATGTGATTTTCCTTGCAAAATCGTTTACCCTTTGCGCATCGATGAATCGATGCTCAAACCGGGTGCCGCCAGGATGCGTGGATCCAATGGCATGGACGAGGAGACTGCGTTTGTTTCAAAATTTTCAAAAAACAGAAATCTGTGATGGAAAATTGCTGAATTTGCTGAATGTTCATGACAAATTCATGACTGAAAACACGAGTTGCTGAATGTTGCTTGCTTTGCCCCTCTGCTTTTCAGGGAGCCCCGAACACCTTGGGTAAACTTCGGCCAGGCCTTCACGTCACTCAGTGCCCTCTACGAAGTCCTGCTGAACGTCACGGTGCAGGAACTCAGCCCAAAGGCATAAAGTTGGCAGAACGTTGGCTGAGCTCTGCTCAACTGAGAAAAGTCCCAAAGATGAAGTGCTCTCAAGGTGGGGGGTATAGCTAAGCTGGGCTAAGCTGGGCTAAGCTGGCAAGTCGTTTGAGATGGTGCCTAGGTCTGCTTGGCTCCAGTAGTGCCATTCATCACCGAGCCTCCTCGGCACGTTTCTCAAGCAATCTAGCTTCTAGAAGTTTTGAAGTTCAAGACATTCTGCCAATCGTGCAGACTCTTGCAATGGTGGAAGATCGTTCTGGATTTTACTGTAATGATGTATTTTTTGTGCGCCCTGCGATCTTTTCTGCCAGGCTCATCTATTCGAACCTTGTACGTGCGCTGCCCGACGGGCACCCCATGAAGGCATGTGGCATAGCCTCCAAATTGAAAGATATCCCAAATAGACACTCCAAATTTATTCAAATTTGATCATGACAGCTGCATTTCGTTATATTGTCAATTGTCGAACCAGGCGAAATCGGTGCATTTCGTGATGATCCCCGAGCCTGATATGAAGGCAAGTGGCACAAGTTTGTGCAAGCGCGGCCTCTTCCCAGACAAGGGCAGGGGCAAAGAACGTCCTGCCCAGGCCATCAATCCGGAAATCACCCAAGCTGTGAGGCTGGACATCGCTTTTTTGATTTTTATTGCAATTCTATGCAATGCAGATGACTTAGTGACTACCTTAGTGACTACCTTAGTGACTACCTTAGTGACTACCTTAGTGACTACCTTAGTGACTACCTCAGTGACTACCTTAGTGCATGTAGTCACTATTATAGTCTCTGTAGTCGCTGTCACTGGTGTTCAAGTCGAGGCGCATGCAGTCTGTTGTGGAGCTTGGACGCACGTGCCGGGAACGACGGAAAGTGGGTTCGGTGCCCGCAGATTGAAATGCTTCGAATCGCAGATATCGCAGAGAATTGACGAATCGCAGAGGCTTCGAATGGTTCGAATTTCGGGTCGAAAATCCTTCCAGGTCTCAAAACGCCGCTGAAGTCCATGACGATCATGAACAAGAACGAGGCCGGGTGCGCATGCCACGGCAAAGAGTTTTTTCGGCCTCGAGTCGGCCTCACTTGTTTGTGCACTTTGATGCACTTTGGTCATTGTGGTCATTAGTGGAAGGCCTTCATGAAGGACGTGAAAGCCTTGCAGAAGTTCGCCGCCAATTTGGAATTTTGTCCGACTTGCACTTCTGTTGGGAAAGCGTTTGCATTGCAAGGTACATTGAGGAGGAGCTGAACGTCGTGGAAGTGAATTTCAGAGCTGATGCTGAGGTGGATACAATACCTTTACTACTCGACAAGATGCCTCTTCGTATTGGTGAAAGATATGGGAAGGATTCGGAATGATGTGGGGTGGTTTGAACAACTACTTAAACCATGTTGAACCAGTTTCTCTGAAGTTTTCTTCAAAGCAGAACTCAGCACTTCGGAGTTTCCTGTTCCGCTCAGATCACCCTCTCTGGCACGCTGAACTTCAAGGCGACAATTTGGAGCTGAAGTTGTTGAGTTCACCAAAATCAGCTGAGTGCTGCCTTATCCGTGTGTTTACAGGATGTTTTTCTTTTGTGGGCTTCTGCAGTCGACAGGAGCTTGGGAAGCGTCTGGGTAAAGACATGAAGGCCGTGAAGGCCTGTAACGCCACGCAGGGTACAGCTGATCTCACGATGTCTGAAGCAGTTGAACTTTGCTTTGCCAAAACAGTCACAGCAGAATACAGCAGAATACAGCAGAATACAGCAGAATACAGCAGAATACAGCAGAATACACTCAATATTTAGCTTTCATTCATTTCATTCAATATCGAGTCTTCCAGTGCCGAATGTGCCGAACGCCACTGATGGAAACGGAAATTTAGACTATCAAACGGAGAGCACTGTAGGCTATTCTTGGTTTGGTCTTGGTTTGAGGAGGCACAGAACTCACTATATATATATATGTAATATATAATGTATACCCATGCATCGAGTTTGGCAGGCTTGGGTGTGCATGTATCATCTTCAAGTGTTCAATGAATGCTATCATTTTGTCTCAAGTAAACTTGAACCAAAATAGCATTCATTGCTGTTTTCTTTCTCGGTCTTTGTAAGGGGCGACCTTACTTGACCTTGATTGGTTGGTTCAAACTCAACACAAGGGGTGACCTTGTATGCAGCGCAAACTCCCAGGCATTGATATTCCAGCAGCCACTGAGGCGAAGATCCTGCATGCGGCTGCGTTTTTGGAATTCAAGAACCACGTGGAGAGGCTGGCAAGGGAGGATTCGGGCCCAGCAGCATAGCACTCCCCCTATGTTCTCACTACTGGGACAGATTGTGAGTTGTTTCCCCCCTTGCCGAAAATGCCCTGCTGCCTTGATGGATGTCCACGTTGCGCAGCTCATGTGGGTGGGTTCAAGTTCCCGTGGCTTGGCTTGTGGAATAGCCGGGGAGTTGTGCTGCCTGATGATGTGGCGCCTGCGGATGCTTGGGAGTACTACTACCAGCACCAGGAACCCATGGATCTCCTGCTGGTTTCGGCATACACGAACTTCAGAGTGGCCGAGGACGTGGTGCCCCAAGAGCTCTATGGACTCCAGCTCAGATGTTCAGCGGGCGACGCTGGGCAGCTGGGCCTGGGCGAGCTTTTCGAGCAATGGAGGGTCTGGCTTCGATGTGTGGGCCCGCACGAGCTCCTGCCGATCTTTCTCGAGCCGCGTCACTTCCCCAGGGCCCCCAGGGGGCGACCCTGGCCGGCATGGGGGAGAGAGGGCGCCAGGGCTCATCGAGCTCTTTGTGGATGGCTGGAAAGCCAAGAAGCCAGAGTCCAGCATCTGGGGACTGCATGCACGGAGTGCGGCGACCCCACCAGGCGCGTGTGTTGGGCCTGCTGCGTTGGCATGTGTAGTGACTGCTATACATGGAGGCAGCCATGCACAGTTTGTGGAGGCCGTAAGAAGATGTTCGCTGAAGGTTGATGCTATGACAGAGGAGGCACCTCTGGAGTCACCGCAGCATCTTTTTGCTCTCCGCACCTTAGCAATTCTGTTAGGGTGCAGTGCCATGGCATCAGGCGGAAAAGGCTACTATGCAGCTCAGGCGGCAGCCTCATCTTCGTCAGGGGGTGACCCTGCACCAGGATGGAGGGCGGCCGACTCTTTAATGATGATTGCTGCTCAGAGGGCTCGCCAATGGAGGGAGAATGAAGGCCTTCTGGATGACAATGACTTTGCCTATGCCTACACAGACTACGATCAAGTCGTTGGACTCGCTGGCCATCATGTCGCCGATGACTGGTTGCAGACGCGAGCAAGGGTCGAAGAAATCCTCCTTGCCGCTGGAGCCAAAGTCGTGGAGGACCACCCCAAGGGTTACGTCACTCTGCGCCCAGCGCGCAAGACGATCTACAAGAAGAAGCCCAGAGCCATCAACGTCGACAAAAACCTGAGCGAGGCCGTCCAGAAGAGGGTGAACGGCGTGGTTTCAATGTTTGTTGGCATGGGCGCGTACAAGCCAGCCGGCATTTTGACCGACACCCTCAAAGCTGAATGGAAGCAGACGTGCAGGAGGATCGCCGAAAAGAAGGTGAAGGACGCTGAAAAGGCCACCATTGACAGAGTGGTCAACACTTGGTTGGAGCTGAGGACCTTCTTGGAGAGCCGGGGGCGACCCGCTCCTCCCGGAATGGTCGACCTTGACCAGTTCCTGAACCACACAGCGGCACCAGCACGGGCACTCCAAGCTTTGAAGTGGATGAATAAGAATGCCGACCAGGATCTTGAGCTGGGCAACTTGCAAGTTCCCACAACACCCAGGGCGACTGGGCAGCGTGGGCAAGCTCCGGTGGTCGAGCCACCCTTGGTGCAGGCCTTGGAGGACCGCATCATGGAACTGCATGCGGTAGGCGATGAAAGGTGGTCAGTCCTCCTGGCCCCTTGGATCATGGCGTTTGGCTGTTTGAGGTATGCGCATATATCTCGAACAGAACCTCGACGCCTCACCGCTGCATTCCTCCATTGCAGGTGTCCCAAAGGCAAACAAAGGCATGCTCGTGAGGGATTCGACTTTGCAGTGCCGGCAACCTTTGCCAATGGGTTCTTTTGGGCCAAGGAGGTGTTGGAGGCCTACAGGACACTGGCACCGGCAAGGCAGAGGCTGGCAGGTCTTTGTTTTTCGGACGAAGGACGCCCTTGGACGATCCTTGAAGTTCAAGAAACGATGCAACAGGAAATGTCCGTGTTCCTCGACAATCCTGAAGACCTGACCACCTACAGTTGGAGAAGGTTGGCACCCACGGTGGCCCAATTGTTGGAATGCAAGCCTGAAGAAATGGCCGCCCTGGGTGACTGGCAAGCCAAGGGCGAGGTGCCAGAAGTGGGTGCAATGGCCTTCCACTATTCGTCGGCCAAATACGCCGCGTCGATCAAGGTGAAATCACTGATCTGGGGTGCGACAGCGAAGCTGACTAGCAACCTGCTGTGGGAGGCGATCCCGCAGTCAGAGCTAGACGCAGCCCGGGTCCACGGCTTAGCAGAGGCAGACCGGTTGCTGAGG